GGTCCTCCTGACCTGGTGGCCACCCCAGGAGCCCTGCAGAGGAGGGCTGGGTGCATTGTGCCTAGGCTCAGGCTGTGACCCTGCACCCCGCCTCTGGCAGAGGTCCCCGGCTTCCTGAGTGACGCGGAGTGCCGACTCATCATCCACCTGGCCCAGATGAAGGGGCTGCAGCGCAGCCAGATCCTGCCCACCGAGGAGTACGAGGAGGCCCTGGGCACAATGCAGGTCAGCCAGCTGGACCTCTTCCAGCTGCTGGATCGGAACCGTGATGGTCGCCTGCAGCTCCGTGAGGTTGGGACCCTGGGGCCTGGAGTGGGCACAGGGTGGGAGCAGCCACACTTGGCTTTCTGACGGCCAGGTTGCTTCTCCTGCGTAGCCTTGGCCCCAAGAGTCAGATGCCACTTCAGGTCAACATGGGCATGCCTGGGCCCATTTCTTCCCTGGAGAGCCACCTACCTCCCAGGAACCCCAGAGGATGGTGGAGAGTCCACGTGAGAATGAGGGCATTGCTGCCGTGGCTGGGAGCTCCCGAGAACTTGGAGGGGAGGGTGGCAGTTCTGAGGTGGCCAGAAGTCTGCGTCTCTGCATACCTCTCGCTCACTGGCTTCTAAGAGAGGTCCTGAGGGGGCAGGGGCCCGTGGCCCCTACAGAGCGCCCCACTGAGCCTGGGCTTCCTGGGGGCCCATGGTCACACCCTGGCCAGGCCTCCCCCTGGTGTCTCCTGGACCTGCCCTCGGGCCTCTGGGTAGGACACAGGCCTGTCCTTTGCCTCCAGACAGCTGGCTCTGCTCCCCGTGAACGCTGCGGTCCCCGTAGACCTTTGGGTCTCTGGACTGGCTTCCTAGCCTCCTCTCCAGATGCCCCCAGACCTCTCTGCCTGCCCCCCGTCTGGCTGTGGGGGCTCAGGTGCTCTCCTGCATCCTCGCACATGCCCTGTCCCTTGAACCCTTTATCCTACAGCAGGAACTGGGTGGCCGTCCTTTCCTGGGACCTCTCCACTGAGGGACTGTCCTGTGCTTTAGGTCCTGGCCCAGACCCGCCTAGGAAGTGGGCGGTGGATGACACCAGAGAACATTCAGGAGATGTACTCTGCGATAAAGGCTGACCCCGACGGTGACGGTGAGCTCGCGCCTGACCACAGCTGTGTGTCTATGGGCCTCCTGCCCCATAGCCAGCCAGCCTCCGGGGCAGCCAGGGATGCAGAGTCAAGGATCCAGCTGGCCCTCAGCCCTGAGAAGCAGGCAGGAGCCAAGCCCTCCATTGCTCTTGGTGACAGTCAGAGGAGGCAGTTCTAGGAGACCCTCTGACCTTATCAGTCCGGGAGGCGGGGCTGCCAGGTGGGAGAGGGCAGAGTGAGTGGGGAGCGGCACAGGAATAGGGAGGCCAGCACGAGGCGGGCAGGGCAGCTGTCGTGCAGAGGCTCCTCTTTGGCAGTGGCCATCACCCTCATGCCCAGGTTCTGAACCAACTGAGGAAGACGGGACAGGCAGGCCTTGGGGAGTGGCTTTGGGGCTGGTGAGCCCAGACCAAAGAATGTGGCCGGGACCCGTGGCCAGAGGGGCATCATGCTGCTGGTGCCCCCACCTGTGCAGCTGGGGCAGGCTCAGTCCTTGCGTGCCCCGACCCCAGAGAAATCTGGACTGAAGGGTGGGAGGTGTCTCCCTTGGGTCAGGCCAGGCAACACCAGCTGCTCTGCCAGAACCCCACGGGGGTAGAGCCCTGTTCTGTGGGCAGGGTGGGAACAGGTCTGGAGTGTTCTCATTCAGGAGAGTGGCCTGGCTTTCTCTGCTGAGGCCACGTGGGAAGCCCTGGGGAGCAGCCCCAGCTCTGACTGCTCTCTCCCGCCATCTGCAGGACCTGAGGGTGGTCCCTGTGCCGTAGAGCCAGGCTGATGGCCAGTGGCAATCCTTGGCCCGGGGTCCTGGCCACATGGCTCATGCTTCCTTTGGAGACCGTGCTCAGCCGATCTAGCGGGTTAGATGTCCTCCTTTTGGGAGCCTAGTGAAGGCTTCAACTGAGGAAATAAACTTCTCTGGGTCCTCCTGTAGGGCCTGATGTGACACAAGCCAGGTACAATCCAGGTTCATCCAACCTGAGTCCAGGTTTGGGGACAGGTGCACGTGGCCCCCCAGTGCTGGAGGCCAAAGCTAGGTAGGAAGGTGCGGCCTGCCTCTGCGGCCTCCCCAAATGGGTGTGGTGGGCATTCCTGGCGGGTGCCCCGTGCAGGAGTGCTGAGCCTGCAGGAATTCTCTGCCATGGACCTACGGAACTTCCACAAGCACATGAGGAGCCACAGGGCGGAGTCCAGCGACCTGGTGCGGAACAGCCAGCACGCGTGGCTCTACCAGGGGGACGGCGCCCACCACGCCATGCGCACCATCCGCCAGAGGTGAGTGCCTGCAGCTGCCCTGGTGCAGAGTCCCACATTAGGCCCCACTGGGGCCCAGCAACCACAGGTATAGGTCCACTTGGTAGACCAGGGTCAGGACTCATGAAAAAGCAGGCGATTAATTTAACGAAGGCAAATTATTCCTGATACTGGGCAAACAATATTCATTTGGGATTAGAAACAAGATTGCATGTTTTTTCTGTTAATTAGAGAAATGACCTCTTGTCTCTGTCCACTGGACCCCCTGCCCCTGAGCAGCCAAGGGTTTTAAATAAACCACCTCTTTCCCTGGGGCAGTGCCCCCACCACTTAGCTAAAGCTTCCCTTCCCACCCAGGGACATCCCTGGCGTCTGGGGAGAAGGGCTCATTGTGAGGAAGCCCTTCATGACCCTCCAGGGCTTCTGGGGAGGTGGGCAGGGGCATATCTTTGGCCAGCCCCTTGGGGCCCACCTGGTATGGGGTTGCCTGCCAAGTGCCTGCTGCCCAGCAGGGTGCTGCGCCTCACTGGCCTGTCACCGGAGATCGTGGAGCTCAGCGAGCCTCTGCAGGTCGTGCGTTATGGCGAGGGGGGCCACTACCATGCGCATGTGGACAGTGGCCCCGTGTACCCGGAGACCATCTGCTCCCACACCAAGCTGGTGGCCAACGAGTCTGTGCCCTTCGAGACCTCATGCCGGCAAGTACCTCCCCCAGAAACTGCTTCTGACTCCTGGCCAGGCACCCCACGGCACCAGCACGGCCTGCCTGGGGCCATGCTGAAGGACACCCTTCTCTCCCCCAGGTTGTTCACCAAGGGGCAGGAAAGGGATGGCCGCTTCTCAGGGGCCAGACTGAGGTCCCCACAGACACTGAAACTCACCCCCAGAGCTCTTAGGTGTGGGGCAAGGCCAGACCTCCAGTCTCTTCTGCCCCCTCTGCTGGAGGCCTCAGCCTCCTATGAAAGCTGTGCCCCCGCCCTGCCAAGGCATGGAGGCAAATCTCTTCAAGTGGCTGCTCTGGCTCAGCCCCTGCTGGTCCCAGCCAGTCCTTTGGCATGATCTCGATGCTGCCGGCCGCCTGCCTTCCTCAGCTGGCTCTTGGCTGTGGCCACAGAAAACACCATGACACACAGCAAGAGACTGTTGTCCCCAGTCCCAGGTTGCCCCTCTGGCCCTCGGAAGCCTGGGCAGCATATCCCGCCCACAAGCCCTGGAGCGCCCACAGCTAGGGGCCTGCTGAACGGACCCCCTTGCCTTACAGCTACATGACAGTGCTGTTCTACTTGAACAACGTCACCGGTGGGGGTGAGACTGTCTTCCCCGTAGCGGACAACAGAACCTATGATGAAATGGTAGGGGGTCAAGTGGGCTGTAACTGGTGGGGTGCAGGGCCTGGGCAGATGTGCACACCCCCTAGACCTGCTGTGAGGGCCTGAGCACGCCTGGGCACAGCTGGCCGGTTTCCTTCTGGCCACTTTTGGCTGCCTAGCCTTAGCTCGTGGCCATACAGTGGGGGCAGCTTGAAAATCCCACCACCACCCTGCTGCCCACAGAGTCTGATTCAGGATGACGTTGACCTCCGTGACACTCGGAGGCACTGTGACAAGGGGAACCTACGTGTCAAGCCCCGGCAGGGCACGGCAGTCTTCTGGTACAACTACCTGCCTGATGGACAAGGTGAGTCCTGTGGCCAAGCCACAGTGCTTTGAGGGAAGCTTCCCTTTACCCAGCTCCGGCTGCCACTTAGTGGGCCTTTTTTCTTGTCTGCCCTACAAATGGTTTTCTGCCCCTACTGTCTGCCAACAACCCTCCTCAGTGACTAGCAGCCTGCCCTTGTGCCCCTTCTGGGTGATCTGGACCCCTGTAATCCCCTGATGTCCGAGCCTTCCAGCCCACTTGGGGTGGAGACACATGTCCGCCACCGACCCAGGCCAAGAAGGCCTGTAAACAGGCCTGGCAGCCAGAAAGCCGCTTTCAGAGGGCCAGGGGCGTTGACAAGGCATTCGTTTGCGAAAAGATGCTGAGCCCCCAGCGCGGCCTTGGGGCCACATGCCACCTCAGGGGTGCGCAGCCGGCGGCCCAGCTCGGGCCCCGTACTTCCCTGCTCACACCAGCCATCCCCGCCAGGTTGGGTGGGCGACGTAGACGACTACTCGCTGCACGGGGGCTGCCTGGTCACGAGCGGCACTAAGTGGATCGCCAACAACTGGATCAATGTGGACCCCAGCCGGCCGCGGCAGGCGCTGTTCCAGCAGGAGATGGCGCGCATGGCCCGCGAAGGGGGCGGCGACGCGCAGCCGGAGTGGGCCCTGGACCGCGCCTACCGCGACGTGCGCGTGGAACTCTGAGCAGGGCTCCCCGCCGCCCCCTCCCTGCCTCCAGCCGCGGCTGGGGGCCCCATCTGCCGGGGCCCCCGTCGATTGTGCAGACCCGCGCGGCCCCGTGCAATAAAGCCACCCGCCCCGAGCGCTGGGTCTGCCGCCGCGCACGGCGAGTGTCACGTGACGGGGGCGGGGCTGCCCCGCTTGCCAATCAGGCGCCGGCTCGCGCCCCGGCGTGGAGGCTTCTCGCCGCGGGCGCCGCAGAGCTGCGGCTCGGCAGGCTGTTCTCGCGAGAGCGCGGCTCGTGGTCGGCCGGCGCGGCGCGGCGGAGAGTGCGACATGGACGCCCGTGAGGACTACGTTTGGCCGCGGGCGACTTCGGAGCTCATTCTGCTCCCAGTCACGGGGCTGGAGTGCGTGGGGGACCGGCTGTTGGCGGGTGAGGCTTGTCTAGAGGTGTGCGCTGGCGGGCGGGGAGCCGAGCGCCGCCGGGGCGGTGCCGTGAGGACAAAGCGGGGCGCGGGCGGCGTGGCCCGCGCCGGCGGGTGGGGGAAACCGCTCTGGCGGGGATGGGGTCCGGAAGTAAGCCGTGGACGGCCTTGCCCGGGGGCGTGCGGAGAACCCGCCCCGGCCGGGAGCCCGGCCACCGCAGCTGGTGCGGTTCCACGCGGGTTCCGAGGCACGGCCCTGGCTGCAGGTCCGGAGGGAGCCGCCGCCTTCCTAAGGGGGTGGTGGCCCCACGCCTGGAAGCCCGCGGGTCTCTCGTGTTCTGCGCGCCCATGGGGGAAACGTGCCGGGGTGGCCGAGGCTCGGAGAGTTGGTCACCTTCGGCAAGGGGGGCATCCCTGGGAGCCTGGAGAAGCGGGCAGAGCCAGACAGTTCCGGGCCTAAAGGTGGTGGGGCGGCCCCAGCGAGGACATCCAAGCAGGGGAGTGACTGGGGACGCAGGTTAGGAAGCCCTTCCAGTGTATTCACCTGCCCCCGTGACTCCCTAGGCGGCGCACTGATGCAGTTGCCGAAGGCCACCCGTGTGCACCTCTGACCTGAGTAACAGGCCCAAGTGCCCAGGCGTGCCAGCTCTGCGCGGGGAGCACCAGCCGGTCTAGTTGAGCTTGGTCTCTCACTTGGAGCATTTCTTGGCCTCTGTTGCCATCACGGGAGGCCATGAGGCCATGACCTGTCTCTCGGGCCTTCCACAGCACCCTCTCTATCCCAGCCTGGAGCCTGTTTACTATGCCAGCCAAGCTACCCAAAGCTTTTGTTCACCTCAGGGCCATCCAACCTGCTCTTTCCTCTGCCGGGAAAGGTGGCCTCCCCCAACACCCAGCCTGGTCAGATTAGACCAAGATTCGCAGTCACGGCACTCCTGACCTGGGTCAGACGGTCGTTCGTGTAAGGGGCCATCTGTGCTGCAGCAGCCCTGGCTGCCACCCCTAGGTGCGCTGCGCAGCTGCCAGTCATGACGACCAAGTGTGTCTGCAGACATTGCCAAGTGCTTTCTGGGGCGGGGACTGCCCCTTCCCCCCCCCCGCCCCGCGTTGAGAACCACTAGGTGAGATGGTCCCATTTTATGTTCTTGAAACAACACAACATATTCTTCCGAGGGTCTTAACAGTTTAAGAGCGTGGTTCAGTTGAGCGGCGGTGTGAAATCCATACTCAGTGGAATGAAGGTCCGGTTGTGAGCACAGCTGAGGGACTGCTAGTGTCACTCACGTCAGGCTAGATGATGTCTTAGGCAAGTCACAGGACTTGGGGACAGTGCAATGTGGGAGGTTAAAAGCACACGGTGGACTCTGGGGCGGGCAGGGTGGCAATGATCCTTGCGATGTGTTGCTTGGAGAGAGCCCAGGGGCGAGGTGAGTGGGAGGTGCCTGCAGGGCAGCCCGACTGGCCGCTGAGGGTCCAGGAGCCGCTGCTCCCTCTTCTAGTCGTCCCCCCGCTCACAGCTCCTGGAGATCACGGGGGCTTCTGTCAGGGCCCTGAGGTGGATGAGCCTGAAGACTTTGGGACTGAAGCTGAGAGGGATCCCGTCCGAAACATGGGCAGTTAGGTGGGTGAGGAGGAGGCGGTCGGGCTGAATGTCTGGAGCGGCCCGCGAGGGCTCAGAGTACGCACCAAGAGTCCACTGAAGCAGAGGCCAAGCTGAGTCTCCTAAAAGGCTGGTGGGCTGCGTGCTGGGGGTCTTCCCTGCCGCCTGCGCCTCCATAGCTCCCCTGAGTCGTGGGGGGGGCACTGAGGCGGCCTCACCTGTGTCTAGGCGAGGGGCCGGATGTCCTGGTGTACACCTTGGACTTCGGGGGGCACCTGCGGATGACGAAGCGAGTGCAGAGCCTGCTCGGCCACTACCTTATCCATGGGTTTCGGGTGCAACTGGAGCCCGGCGGAGACCTCGACGCTGAGGCCACGGTGGCCGTGTTCGGGAGCAAGGGACTCCGAGTCGTGAAAGTGAGCTGGGGACAGGGCCACTTCCGGGAGCTCTGGCGCTCCAGCCTGTGCAACATGTCTGATTGGATCTGGGATGCACGTTGGCTTGAAGGGAACGTGGCCTTGGCCCTGGGCCACAACTCAGTAGTGTTGTATGACCCCGTGGGAGGCTGTGTCCTGCAGGAGGTGCCCTGCACGGACAGGTGCACCCTCTCGGCCGCTTGTCTGATTGGTGACACCTGGAAGGAGCTGACCATGGTGGCAGGTGCTGTTTCCAACCAGCTCCTGGTCTGGTACCCAGCAGTCACCCTACCAGACAAGAAGCCCGTGGCCCCTGACCGGCGGGTGAGTGGGCACATGGGGGTCATCTTCAGTATGTCGTACCTGGAAAGCAAGGGCTTGTTGGCCACAGCTTCAGAAGACCGAAGTGTTCGCATCTGGAAGGTGGGTGACCTGCGCATACCTGGGGGTAGGGTGCAGAACACAGGGCACTGCTTCGGGCACAGCGCCCGCGTGTGGCAGGTCAAGCTCCTAGAGAGTTACCTCATCAGTGCTGGAGAGGACTGTGTCTGCTTGGTCTGGAGCCACGAAGGCGAGATCCTTCAGGCCTTTCGGGGCCACCAGGGCCGTGGGATCCGGGCCATCGCTGCCCATGAGAGGCAGGCCTGGGTTATCACTGGGGGTGATGACTCTGGCATTCGGCTGTGGCATCTGGTAGGGCGTGGGCACCTAGGGTCAGGGGTCTCAGCTCTCTGCTTCAAGTCCCGTAGCAGGCCAGGTGTCCTCAAGGCTGTGACATTGGCCGGCTCCTGGCGACTACTGGCAGTGACAGATATGGGGGCCTTGTACCTCTATGACCTTGAGACCAAGTGCTGGGAGCAGCTTCTCGAGGACAAGCGCTTCCAGTCCTACTGCCTCCTGGAGGCGGCTCCTGGCCCCGAGGGGTTTGGACTGTGCGCCATGGCAAATGGGGAGGGCCACGTCAAGGTCGTCCCCATCAACACACCAGCGGCCGCTGTGGAGCTGACCCTGTTCCATGGGAAGGTGCACAGCCTGAGCTGGGCCCTGCGAGGCTACGAGGAGCTCCTGTTGCTGGCATCGGGCCCTGGTGGCGTTGTGGCCTGCCTGGAAATCTCGGCTGCGCCCTCGGGCAAGGCGATCTTTGTCACGGAGCGCTGCCGGTACCTGCTGCCCCCAAGCAAGCAGAGATGGCACACGTGTAGTGCCTTCCTACCCCCGGGGGACTTCCTGGTGTGTGGGGACCGCCGCGGCTCTGTGTTGCTGTTCCCATCCAGGCCAGGTCTGCTCAAGGATCTTGGGCTTGGAGTCAACGCAGGGGCTGGTGCTGGGGCACCCAGAGCAGGGGGCGGCGGTGACAGTGCTGAGGAAACCGCGGCTGCGTGGGGCCCTGTGTCCACCCTCCCCTCTCTGCATGGGAAGCAGGGTGTGACCTCAGTCACCTGCCACGGAGGCTATGTGTACAGCACAGGGCGCGATGGTGCCTACTACCAGCTCTGTGCGCGAGGCGGCCAGCTCCAGCCCGTCCTCAGGCAGAAGTGCTGCCGAGGCATGAACTGGGTGGCCGGTCTCCGCGTGGTGGCCGATGGCAGTGTGGCCATCCTGGGTTTCCGTGCCAACGAGTTCGTGGTGTGGAGCGCCCGGTCCCACGAGAGGCTACACGTCGTCAGCTGCGGTGGAGGGCATCGCTCCTGGGCCTTCTCTGATACTGAGGCGGCCATGGCCTTTGCCTACCTAAAGGATGGGGACGTCATGCTGTACCAGGCACTGGGGGGCTGCACCCGGCCACACGTGATTCTCCGAGAGAGCCTGCATGGTCGGGAGATCACGTGTGTGAAAAGGGTGGGCAGCATCCCCGTGAGGCCTGAATTTGGGGTTCCCAGCTTCATGCAGCCTGACCATGGAGAGCCTGGCAGCGAGGGGCCAGGCCTGACTGACATCATCATCACGTGCAGCGAGGACACCACCCTCTGTGTCCTAGCGCTCCCCACTGCCACGGGCTCAGCCCATGCGCTCACAGCCGTCTGTAACCACATCTCCTCCGTGCGTGCAGTGGCTGTGTGGGGTGCTGGCAGCCCAGGAGGCCCTCAGGGGCCTCGGCCAGGCCTGACTGCCCACGTAGTGTCTGCGGGGGGCCGGGCCGAAATGCACTGCTTCAGCATCACGGTCACCCCAGAGCCCAGCACCCCAAGCCGCCTGGCCTGCCACGTCATGCACCTTTCATCCCACCGGCTGGACGAATACTGGGACCGGCAGCGTAATCGGCACCGGATGGTCAAGGTGGACCCGGAGACCAGGTGATGGGCCCTGGTGGGCAAGAGTGTGGGGCGGGTTCAACCCCCTGCTCCTGGCCCTGCCTGACCTCTGTGCAGCCTCACAGGTACATGTCCCTAGCTGTGTGTGAGCTCGACCGGCCTGGCCTCGGCCCCCTGGTGGCTGCAGCCTGTAGCGATGGGGCAGTGAGGTGAGAGCCTGGGCCGGGCCAGGGGCGTGGGGGGTTCTGGAGTGGGCTGCGGGCTGCACCCTTGGCCCGCAGGCTCTTTCTTTTGCAAGAGTTTGGACGGCGGCTGCAGCTCCTGGCAGAAACCTTTCACCACAAGCGCTGTGTCCTCAAGGTCCATTCCTTCACACACGAGGCGCCTAGCCAGCAGCGGTGAGGGGCCACGTGGGGCCCTGCGTCGGGTGGGAACTACTGTCTCCTGCATCCCATTCTGACCCAGATGCCCTGTCCTCGACTGCAGGAGGCTGTTCCTGTGCAGTGCAGCCACTGATGGCAGCCTGGCCTTCTGGGACCTCACCACTGTGCTTGACCATGGCTCCACAGCCCTGGAGCCTCCAACAGCCCCTGGGCTCCCCCACCGTGAGCAGTCGGCATGCCTGACCCTCCCCGGCCCCTGCTTGGCCTCCAGCATGGCGGGCTGGGCCCTAACCACTTTTTCCCTGCAGAGCTGGGCCCCCCCGCCCTGACCGTCCAGGCTCACAGCTGTGGTGTCAACAGTCTACATACCTTGCCCACAAGGGAGAGCCACCTTGTGGCCAGTGGCAGTGAGGATGGCTCCCTGCACATCTTCGAGCTTGCCGTGGACACGCCAGAGCTGGAGAGGGCAGGTGGGGGTGCCGAGCTGATGCCCCAGCTGCACGTGCTGGAAGAATACTCAGTCCCCTGTGCTCATGCTGCACACGTGACTGGCCTCAAGATCTTGAGCCCCAGCCTGATGGTCTCAGCTTCCATTGACCAACGGCTGACCTTCTGGCGCCTGGGGCAAGGTGAGCCCACCTTCATGAACAGCACAGTGTACCACGTACCAGATGTGGCCGACATGGACTGCTGGCCTGTAAGCCCTGAGTTTGGCCACCGCTGTGCTCTTGGGGGCCAAGGGCTGGAGGTTTACAACTGGTATGACTGAAGGAACCCACAGAGGCTGCCCACTGGGCATGACATCTGCCCACAGCAGGCATGACTGCTGTGCCCAGTGGGCCTCAGGGGATGGCAGAGATGACAGCCTCGAGTCCCCAACCTCAGAGCAAGAGCTGGAGGTGAGTGGAGGCTGCCTGAGCAGGCCCAGACCCAGGCCCCGTCCCCCCAGCACCTCCCCACAGGACGACGACGCCGTGTGACAGAAGCAGTGTATTTCAGCACCAGATCTCTTGACACCACATGTGGCGGTTTTTCCGTTTGATGACTCTTAACATTCCCAGCTGTCAGGGCCCCTGGCCTTAGACGTGGCTCAGTGGAGGGAGGCCCAGCATGGCCAGGCCCGCATGGAGCACCTCACGCAGAGCCCGCAGGAGCTGTAGGCGGGCACACATCTGAGCGAACAGGTGCGGCCGGGGCTCCTGGAGGAGAGAAGGGATGTGCTGGTCTCACCTTTGCTGCCGTCCCTAGAACCCCTCCTGCTGGGCACTTACCCCAAGCACGTGCACGCGGTTATAGTAGGAACTGAAATCCATGGTGAGCTGGACCAGGAACTTGCACACCTACGGACAAACGGAGTCACTGCCCAGTGACCTGACTTGTACCCAGAGCGAAATAAAGGAGAGCAGGTAGCGTCTGCTCTGGCCTCGTCTCACCGTTTCTGTGCGCACAGCAGTGTGGAGCCCTGGGGTGGCACGGGCCAGAGCCCCCGTCCAGCTCAGCAGGTCCGGGAAGGGCAGAATGCTGTTGAAGAGCAGCAGCCACTCGCCCTGTGGGGAGAAGGGTGCTGGGCGGAGGCCTGAGCCACCTGTGGGTGCCAGCTCCCAGCAGGGGCACTCACCTCATCACGCAGCAACGAGAAATCCAGCCTGCTGGCAGGTGGAGCAGCAGGGTACAGACCTTGCTCGACACCGAGGCTGTAACCCTCAAAGAGGGTGGCCAGGCGGGCGCAGTTATACATGACAAAGACGCCACTCCTGGTGCCCTTCACGGAGGTGCGGTCAGCCAGGGCCAGGAGAAGCTAAGGAGGGCACAGCTGCAGCAGGGGACAGCCACCACATTCCCTGCTCCTCCACCAGGGTCCTGGGGGGGTGCCCAGGCTCACCTGACTTTGGGGGGCCGTGCTGAGCATCTCAAACTTGATAGATGCCACAGAGAGAACCCTGAAGACCTCTGTCCAGGCCGGATCTGAGGGAGCAGAGCCTGTCAGCTGGTCTCTGGGGGCACAGAGCAAATGACCTGTCCCCACCCCAAAGCCCAGCCAGGGTATCCGGGACACACCCGACGTCAGGTCCCTGCCGTGCTTCCGTGCTGAGGCCTTGCACACCTGGGCCTGCCGGAGCCTGCATTTGGAAAAGTAAGAGGAGGCCCCGTGGGTAGGGTCCCCACTGCCACAGCCACATGGCCTGCCTTCAGCCTCACTCACTCGTAGTACTCCAAGGCCGTCAGGGAGCCAGGCACACCAGCTACCTTCACCGGGCCGCACACCAGGTGCTTCTGTCAGGGCAAGAGCATGTGCTCAGCCAGCTGGTCCCCCCAGGAACCCAGAGCTGGTGCCCAGGCTACTCGGCACACGGTCCCCGGCCTCAACCAAGGCCTCCCACCTCCAGGCCTCACCTTCTCCCAGAACTCCACGTACTGCGCGCACCCACTCGCCAAGCCCAACCTCTCCCCAGAGATCAGGGTCACTGGGCCCTGGCCTCCAACAGGCCCTACAAAGGTTTTCTGGGCCTGAGGCTGGGAGGGGAGCTCCTGCACCACTAACTTGTCGGAGGGGAGCCTGGTCATCCAGCTTCCACCAAAGCAGATCCAGCTTCTGCTGCTGGAATTCCTCCTCACAGCTCACCACGTGCACAACTGTGCAGCCGTCCATACCAGCAGCCGGGGCCGCGGCCTGTCGAGAGGTAGGAGGGCGGTCACCGCAGGGGCTCGGGATGCCTGGTTTGCGAGAGGCCCGCGGCGGGGAGCCAGCACCAACCGGGCCGGGGGGGCCGTCCTCAAGCGTCTGCTGCCCGGCCTCCTGCAGCTCGGCCAGCACAGAGAGCGCGTCCTCGGTCACTGCGGAGGGAACGCAGGCGCTGCGACTGGCTGGAGGGGGGGGCTCCCCGCCTTCTCCCCGGACCCATCGGCCCTCACGTCCTACCCACACAGCTGTCTAGGTTGGGGTCATAGCCGGCCATGCGGCCCCGTTCTTCCACCAGCTCCTTCAGGCACACGGTGCCCAGGGCGCCAGGAGGCAGGGCTCCTCCGTCCCGGGCCGGGGAAAGTTGCGACAGCGCGCGGGTCCTGAGGGCGTCGGGCGCAGGTCTGGCGGGGGCAGCGGGCCAGTCCACACACAGCTGCTGCAGGAAGGTCGCCATGTGCGGGTCCCGCACTGCAGGTACGAGGCGCACACTCACCCTACGAGGCGGGGGCGGCCGCCTTAGCCTGCACTCCGGGCCCGACTCGCCCCCTTCCCAGCCGCAGAAGCCCGCGAGCCGCCCGCCCGCATCCCGCCACGCTCACCCTTGGGCGCGCAGTGCTCGCGCCAGGTGGTCGGCCACGAGCACAGCCCGCAGCTGGCTGAGGCGGAGGGCGCAGGGGGCGCCGCGCAGCGTCGGGCAGTGCAGCACAACGCGCGGGCCCGGGATGGCGGGCACAGCGGGCGCGGTGTAGGAGGCCACGGCGCCCAGGACGCCCGCAAAGACTGCGGGCCGCCGCAGCTGAAGCGCCAAGCCCGCGGGGGTGAGCGCACAGCGCAGCACGGGGGCCACGCCGGGGCCCTGCAGGCCGGCTACGGCCTGGACCAGCCTCTCGGGGACTTGTCCGTCCCCGAAGCGCGCCTGCAGCGCGCGACGCGGTGCCAGGAAGTCTCGGGCGCGTAGGCGGCGTGCGTGCGTCTCCTTCCGCCACACGGGGTCCCCGGGCCCCAGGGCCGCGTTGAGGGCCCCGAGAGTCTCCCCGACTCCTAGACGCGCCACCGCCATGGCGCCCGGAGCCGGAAGCAGCTTATTGGGAGGTCGGACTTCCGGGGGGCAGGACTTCCTGGGCCGGCGAGCCCGGCGGACCAGCGGCGGCCCGGAACGGACAGGTGCGCTGCCGGGTCTAGGGCGGCCGCCTTCCTCCTGCGGAGCTCGAGGGCCGCTGCGGGCCCAGGATGCTGTCGTCACGCGCACGAGCGGCCGGGGTCCGGATTCTAGGCCCCGCTCGGACAGGCTCTGTCGTCCCGCAGGCGGCCATCCCGCGTGTGTGAGGGCCCATTTCTCCAGTTTCACACTGACCACAAGGCCAGCGTTCCCAGGGAATCGTCCCCGGCGTTGGGCAGCCACAGTACAGCCCCTTCTCACAAAACGCTCAATTCTACAGAACTTGAGCTCCTCGGCTTCAGGGTATTTGCCTTTGTCTCTTGGCGTTGCTCGTCTTTACCCCAGTGCTCGCTCCCAGAGTCCCAGTTTTGAGTCCCGAGGAGCTGCAGCCACCGCGACAGCGTCCTCCTGATGCCTCTGCTTCCCCGGCGGCACCGCCGAATGCCGCTGCTCCCGACGTGGGCCCTCCACGCCGCGACGTCCCTCCTCCGACAGGACAGCGCGGGGTCTCCCAAGGGTTTCACTCCGACGCACCTTTAGTCCCTTTCCCTCTTCCTTAGGGGCGACTACACCTGCCGCAGAGCGCCCAGGTCTGAAGGAGGGGTCCCCACGACGGGCCCCCATGCCCTGCAGGGAAGCGCCGAAGGGCACTGGGCGGACACGATATTCCCGATGGCTTCTTGGGTGCCCACTCAACGGGAGTGATCGTGTCATTCCAAAGCGCCTTCCGTGCTGCAGGCGCGCGGCCTGGCCCTCAGCTACCCCCGGTACACGAGACGGTTGGGGTGGTTTTTCCCCAGGAAGTGAAGGGCTATCTTTAGCGAGCGGCGGGCTGGGGCGGCCCTGGGGGACTCCGCGCCACGGCAGCCGTATCCGGAAGCCCTGGCCCGCCCTCCCTCGCCAAGGCCACTCCGGGTTTGAGATGGCCACCGCTCGGCTCTCCACCGGCTACGCCACGTCCAGCCCGAGGGCGCAACCGAGAAAGGGACCCCACAAAGTGACTGGGGTCAGGGCCAGGCCGCTGCTCAGGCAGGAGAGCAGGGAACGAAATCCAAGCGCAGCTGGAATGCTCTGGAGACAACAGCTGCTTTTGGGATTCCGTTGCCCGCTGTCCAGCCATCGGGGGTAGGGGGTTCCTTGCCCTGGGGCCAGATCTGAACCCCCCATTCCCAGTCCCAGGAGGCGACCCAGGAACAGGCGGTGAAACCCAGCCGGGGGAACGAGGCGCTCAACTGAGTCCCAAAACAATAGGTGGGGCAGTGAGGCCTCCCCTGGGATCTGGTCCCGATCCGGATTAGATCTGTGGGACAGGATTAGTCCTGTGGGTCCCCTGCAGGTAGGGCCACTGCTGCGGTCACGGCGGCGAGGCGGTGGGACGGGGCTTCGGGGTCAGCCAGATTGGATCGCGCCCGGGGTCCCGGAGGGGAAGTGAACCCGCGCGACCGCCTCGGGACAGCCCCGCACCTGGACCCTTTGTCCGGACGTCAGCGCCCGGAGCACGAGGGGCCCCACGGCGGCAACGGGGTCCGCGAGAAGCCACTGCGCCCGTCCTCGGCGGTACCCCACCTGCCGCCCGCCCGACCCGCGCGACTGGCGGCACACGGCGACATCCCCCTGAGGCCGCGACCCGGGCGCGCGGAGGTGACCCGGGCAGGGGCACTAGTCGCGGGACGCAAGCCAGGCGAGCGAGCTCAGGGTGAAGTTGCGGGCGCCGTCTCCCTCCGGGTTTGGTGCGGTCCGGCCCGGCCACCACCTCCGGAAGGCCACAGCCGCTCTACTCCGGCGTCCCTTCCGCTTTGCTCTGCCCGCACACTTGGGGCCATTTTAAGGAGCAACCAGCCGACCACGCCCCCGCGCGCTCCCGAGAAGCCAATCCACGCGCGGCGCCGCCGCCAACGGTCGCGCGGGTGACGGTTGGGGAGGAGCGCGACCGCGGCGAGCGGAGAACCTGAGCCGCCGCCCGGCCCCCGGAATCCGACTCCGGGAGCCCGGGATTAGGGGTGGGCGGTTGGCGGCGCGCCCGGCCAGGTGTGCGGGACGGAGCGAGGGCGCGGCAGGTGCACCGCGGGAGTCCCGGGGGAGGGCGGGCGCCTCGGGATGGGCGGCGGGGCTGCGCCGCGCCCTCCGGACGCAGGGGGCGCTGTGGGCGTGCGGCCAGCGCTCCCCGCGGCCCCTTGACCCGGTGCCCGCTTCTCCGCGCGCCGGTCAGCCATGGTCGCCGCGTCGCTGCTCCGCGGTCTGTCCAGAGCGCGGGCCGCCCCCGCCCAGCTGCTGCGGTGAGTTCGGGCCGCGCGCCCTTCCCCGCGCCCCTCGGCCCCTCCCCGCCGACCCCGGCCCGCGCGCTCCTCACCGTCCCTCCGCAGGGCCCCACGGCGTGGGCACCGGCTCACCCCGGCTGACGACGAGCTCTACCAGCGCACGCGAATCTCTCTGCTGCAGCGCGAGTCCCCGCACGCCGTGTACATCGACAGCTACAGCAGCCGCGGCTTCACGGTCAACGGAAACCGCGTGCTGGGGCCCTGCGCGCTGCTCCCGCCCTCGGTGGTGCAGTGGAACGTGAGCCCGCCCGCCTGCCCGCCGCGGAGCCCACCCGGGGCCGGGGAGCGCGGGTTCTGCGCTAAGCTGCCTCCCCCCACACAGGTCGGGTCCCACCAGGAAATCACGGAAGAAAGCCTGTCTCTCTTCTGGATGCTGGAGCCCCCAGTAGGTACTGCAGGGGAGCGGGCAGACGTGCCGAGCCCCAGAGCCACCCCCACCCCCACCCCCGCGTCTGGACAGAACTAGCTGTGAGCCAGCTGTGCGCATCTTTCCCTAGAGATTGTTGTGGTGGGCACTGGTGACCGGACCGAACGGCTGCAGGCCCGGGTGCTGCGAGCCATGCGGCAGCGCGGCATCGCTGTGGAGGTGCAGGACACGGTGAGCCGCAGCACTCGCGTCGCGGGGGCAGCGCGGGCCAGGCCCCGGCTGCGCTGACGCCGGCCTTCTCCTTGCAGCCCAATGCCTGTGCCACTTTCAACTTCCTGTGTCACGAAGGGCGAGTGACTGGAGCTGCTCTCATCCCTCCACCTGGGGGGCCACCCCCCCACCTCCAGCCCGGGCACTGACGCCTCGGCAGAGCTCGGGGCTGCCGGCGCCTCGAGGCAATGTCACTTTGCTCCGCTTGCCGCTGAATGAATGGCTTGATCCGCTCCTGTTTTGTCCTGTGCTCCTGCTCGGTGGGCTCTGGGGGGGCGGGGGGTAGGTGGCGTCTGTGAGGAGACCAAGGGGTCAGCTCTTTACCTGAACTACTTGGTCCCCCGGCAGCCAGGAGGCCGCCCACGCAGTTCCGGCCGCACAGCTGGCTCCTCACTTGCCTTCCCGTGGGGGGGAACCTTTGCTTTCTCCACAAAGTCATGGGAACATGTATGTAGGATCGCACCGGGTCCTGTGTGCACATGCTTTGGAATAGCTCGAGTCTTAGCTTAAATCGGTGGCACTGGTCCAGAGCCCCATATGCTGCTCTGTGGCCCCAGCTTGTGTGAGACACTAAGCTCCCCAGAGCCAGAGCGGGCAGAGCTGTGAGCCGCCTCAGGAGGGGCTTTCTGAGTCTAGAACTATTACTACTGTCCGAGTCTGTGGAACACATCCCCTCAGGGCCTGAGGCTTCCCGGAACGAGGGTGTCCTGTCTGTAGCTGGGATGGGGGCAGTGCACAGTCCCACCTGCCTGCTGACCTCACAGAGGCGGCACCACTTTTTTTCAAATTTTTATTGAAAAATCAAGAGTGTGTGCTGTATCCCTTTTCAGAAAAGCCGCTTCTCATACCTGCAGGCAGAAGAACCAGCTTTGAGGTGAGGGCAGGAGCAAGGGCGCAGGGCAGAGAAGCCGCCACCCCCACGAAGGGGCTGCAAAGGGCTGCTTGCTTACGAGTGGAGGCTGTGGACACCACCTTCCACCTGAGCTGAGGGTGTTCTCTTCTCGAACTTGAGCTCCCCAGAGTACATCATGGCTCTGCAGACGGGCAGGCATCAGGTATAGGCAGCTGGCCCTCCACCAACCCTTCCACCCATCCCAACTGCCCACACTCACCGGACTTGGGTCAAACTCTTGGCACCAATGTCCTGGCATGAGTGCTGGATGCCAGCAATCAGGTAGGGGACAAATTTGTGGATGGACCCTTTGTCCTGCACAGCCCCAGACACCCCCTGGGCCACCTTGATTTTGTCAGCTTCGCTGCAGGGAGAGACCAGAGACAGGAGCAAGTTCAAAGCATAGATAGGCCTGTCACCGCAGGGTTGACGTGGGATGATGACCTTCCTGTCCCACCTGAAGTATCGGTTCTGGCTGCTGAGATGCTTGTCCATGGCGTCAAGAGAACCCATACCACGGTACTTCTTTAGCCGGATCCCATCAGAGAAGAAGTACTCACCAGGGGCCTCAGTGGTAGCAGCCAGGAGAGAGCCCATCATGACTGTGGACAGACCGGAGTGTGGGGCTCAGACCTGATGGGCACTAGGGGAGGGGGTCCCACCAGGCTCCCTGGATACCAGGCCTCACCTGTGGAGGCTCCAAGGGCCAAGGCCTTGGCGATGTGGCCCACATTTTGGATCCCTCCGTCAGCGATGACAGGAACACCAAAGCGTCGTGCATACTCTGATACCTTGTATACTGCTGTTGCTTGGGGGCGCCCACAGGCCAGCACTGTTGAGAAACAGGAGCAGATGGGCAGACAGACTTAATGGAGTCGGGCAAGGGCCTTGTGGGCCGCTGCTCAGCACACCTGCACAGGACTGCAGCCTGGCTGAGGGAGAGTCACATATGGGATGGCGGCTGCCCATTTGCCCTGACAGCACCAATCGCTGTGACAGCCTCCACTCACCCGTGTGCCCGCGTGCATGTGCAAGGCCTGGGCAGCCTCGGGTACATGCAGTCAACAGCCTGGAAAGCCCTGCCCAGCTGGCACGGGGGTCAGGGTCCCCGTGCAGTTAGTACCCAGAGGACCCCCTCCTCCCCGCATGGTGGGCAGTTCAGGCAACATGGAGACAGTGGCTGTGTGAAGAGTGGGCTCCAGAGTTGGTCTGAGCTGTGCCTGCTGCAGCAGCTGTGGGTAGAGCAGGGCCTACCTGGGAGGGGTCTTATGCCAGAAGCAGCCCAGGAAGAGGGAGAGCTGTTCCCGAGCAGCCCCCAACACCACGGTCTGTCACGGCGTTCGCTCTGCCCACACCCCCGCCCTCCTTCCCAGCACCACGAACCCCAGGAGCTACAGCTACGGTCAACCAAGCAGCCGGGCAGTGGGCAGCTGGGCCGGCCGGCGGGCCGGGCCGGACTTACTATAGCAGCCCGTGACAGTAGAAGGGCATTTGGGGCTGTGGGACTTTATGTCTGGAGGGATCTTGGGAGCCGCTGAATAAAACAAACAGACCAGAGTTTAGAGAGGGGGCAGGGGGGGTGGCAGGTGAGGAACAAGGAGAGCTGTCCTGCTTCCAGAATGTCGCCCGTCCTCGGGGCCTGTTTGGCCCTGGGGCTGCTCCTACCGGAGGATCAGTAGGTTCCCCAAGAGCCGCTGGCTCCAGGGCCCGTGGGGCTGAAGACCCTACTGAAACCAGTGTCTGAGGGCCCAGGCATCTTCTTACCCTCCTGTGTGATACAGATGGAACCACTGCCCATGCCCACCCGCAGGGCGTCCACGCCGGCGTCAATGAGGTTCTTGGCCTGGGCAGCCGTGACCACTGCAGGGAGAACGGGGAGAGGTTCACACGAAGGTCTCAGTGGGGGCCTCACCGCCCTTCACCCGCGTCTTCACCACCCAGTCGGGCCTCACCGTTGCCTCCAATGACTTGGAGACTGGGATACTTCTCTTTGATGTATGTGATCATGTTGATCTGGAAGATGGAGTTTCCCTGGGAAGAATCCTGAGACAGGGAGGAAGTCCAGTGAGGCTGGTGCAGCGGTCCCGAGCGCCCCACCCATCCTGAGCAGCAGCCTACCAAAACCACCGCATCGACGCCGGCCTGGGCCAGCAAGTCCAGCCGGTACTTGTCATCCTCATGGGTGCCGATGGCTGCTCCACACAGCAGCTGCTTCTTAGCATCCTTGGAGGCCAGTGGGTAATCTCGGTTCTTCTTCAGGTCTGTCCGTGCAATGATGGCCACCAGCTCATCGTCTCCGTTTACAATGGGCAACTTTCCTGGCGGCAGGACAGAACGATAATGATAATCGGGACCCCAACCTTTGGTTCCCTAACCTTTCCCACCTCTAGTACTCACCCTTCTTGCTACGCTGCAGAATCTCATTTGCTTCCTTCAGTGTGATGCCTGCAGGGGCTACCACCAAGTCCTCCCTCTTTGTCATGATCTAGGAGAGAGAGCAGCTGTCAGGAAGGGCTGATCAGAGACCCGACCTCCCAAGGACCCTTCCCTAAGTTAGGGCTGATGCTCCAAAGACTACATTCACACCCACACCCAAATCGCCCTCCCTCCTCCAGAGAACAAACAGTCTCTGCAGCCATGTCATGACTGCACACAGAGCAGCCTGTTCCGGTGTGCAGAGGGCAAGACCACACGAAGCAGCGGCCGGAGGACAGGCGAGGAGGCTGAGGCTCACCCTTGAGAACTTCCCCACCAAGGGTGGCAGAGCACAAGGGGCCTGCTGGCGAACACCTGGGCCAACTGAGAGCTTCTGATGGGACAGGGATGCGTGTGGTAAGAAGCCTGGCTGGGAGTCCATCTTTCCGGAACAGCAGAGCACCCCCCACCCCAAGGTGGCATTCAGGCAACAGCAGCCTCCTCGTCTTCAGCCTGGGCTGCCAGAGATTGGCACTGTTCTGCCCACAGGACCTACCTCTTCCAAAAACAGGTCGTGCTCCTCCTCCTTGAGAAAATCAATGTCCCTTGAGGAGATGATACCCACCAGGCGGCTCCCCATCCGGCCCGTGTCGGTGATGGGGATACCACAGAAGCCATGCCGGGCCTTGGCTTCAAACACATCCCGCACGTGGTCTTTGGGGCTGAGGACCACAGGGTCAGTGATGAATCCCTGCTCATATTTCTGGAAGGGATGGTGAGAAAGGATGTTTCTGAGCTGCTTTCATCAGGCACTCGCTCTGAAGCCTGGGGTCTGTGTCCACTGGCCTGGCAGCGCCACAGGACCAGATCCCACCACCTCCAGCCCAGAGACAGGAGACACGGGCGGGCGCAGGCACCTTCTGGCTGGCCCTCCTGTGTTGCCTTCTCAGGCTCTTCTCCTCACCCTCAGTGGGAAACGTGGACCCTCAACTGGCAGAGCAGATCTCCACACCCACCCCACTCCACGACAGGGGCACTCCCAGCACTTGACCAGCATCCTTGCCCTGCTGACCTTCACTTTGCGAACTTCGTTGGCCTGGAATTCAGGTGTGCAGTTGTGGTGGATGAAGCCAATGCCGCCTGTGAGCTGCAGAAGCATAAGGGGAACGGGTGTCCCCGCCGCCTGCTTTCGGGGATGGGGCCCTGCTTCTAGCCGCCCCGCGTGGTGCTCACCGCCATTGCTATGGCCATCCCAGCCTCTGTGACCGTGTCCATGGGTGAGGAAATCAGGGGCGTCTTCAGAGTGATCTTCTTGGTCAGAGCAGAGGTCAAGTCCTGAGGAAAGTACGTCTAATCTGGGACACTCCGGGTGGTGCCAGGCCCCCCACAGAACAAGGGCCCTGCGTGGGCGGCAGGAGCAACCCACAGGCCCCGAGCCCGAGCCCCTCCCGCAGCCCGGGCGCTCAGGCCCCGACTCCGGCCGTACTCACCACCTGGTCCGCAGTGAAGTCGATGTACCCCGGGAGGATGAGGAAGTCACTGCGGGGAGAGGCCCCGGTCAGCGCCCCGGAGGCGGCGGCCCACGGCACCCGCGGGGACCTCCGCGCAGCCTGGCCCACGTGTCCCCGGCGGCAGCCACGTGCGGGCGGGAACCGGCCCAGTCCCGCCACTCGGCTGTCACCCGCGCCCCGGCGCGAGAGGCCGCCAAGTGCCCGCGGGCAGGGCTCCCCGCCCGGACCCCGAGCGCCGCCCGGCCGCCTGCTCCAACCCGCGCGGCCTGAGGCCGGAGCCCCGACGGGGTGGGCCGCCCCGCGCCCCGCGCCCCCGCCGCGCACTTGTAGGTGAGGCCGTCGCCGCTGCTGAACAGCTGCTGCGCCGTGAGCCCGTCGTCCGGCACGTAGGACGTGCCCCCGCTGATGAGGTAGTCCGCCATGGCGGCACGCCGCGGCCGCGGGTTCCAGCGAGCGCCGCAGAGGCCGCGGCCGCCCGGGCGCCTCCCTATAAGCAGCCGCCTCGTCACCACGCCCCGCGCGCCGCCGGCGTCAGCACGCGGGGCGGGGCCCAGGCTCGGCGCGGAGCGCATGCGTCCCCCACGACCCACCGCCCCGGGCTCCTCCCCAATAAAGAGGCGTTGTTCACCAGCCGGTTGCAAAGACGTGCTTGTCATTCTTAGTAAACAACTAGATTAAGAATACATAAGAGAAACAGAGTGGTATCTTTATATGATACACAAGTGTATGTTACAAGAATTCCATCAGGCACAGGTGCCGCAGGTTTAAGGCCTCAACGTCGGGCCAAAAGAAAAAAAAAAAAGGCATGGTAAAGTTTTTACTTTAACATCTAAAATGTCACTTGTCGTAAAGGAGAGTGTAATAGAAATCGCCTTTAATAAATCATAATTGAAGTTCCCCTCATTTTTCATCCATTAATATGCTAAGTTTATGTCTGAGCATGAAGAAAGGCCCGAGGGTCCCTGTGGTCAGGATGCGGGCCAGTCAGAGCAGAAGCCCGCAGATCCCGCGGCGTCCACCCATCCTTAGTCCCAGCTTCTGGAGGAAGGGAAGGGGCCACGTTTCTCCTAACAGGCCCCACTCAAAAAAAACAAAAACAAAGCCAGCCAGCAACTTTCGAGGACATCTGGCCCTCGGGAAGCCCAAGCCCCCACAGGCTGAGGGCTCTGCCGCGGCACATTTACCAAGATGCACAGGGGGCTGTTTCCTTTTACATTTCAAACAGAAACAGTCTGATGGGCTGCAAAACTACACCAATATAAAAAGAAAAGAAAAAAATGGAGGCTTCTTCTTCAGTGTGAAAGTCTGTTTCTGTCCTCAATGGTCCCCCTGCCCCACGGCTGACGCCCTCAGTGCATGGTGCCCGCGCTGGCCACCGCGATGGCCTCCTGAATTTCTCGTATCACCAGGATCCGAGTCAGCATCTGTCCCATCTGCTCTCTGCTGATAGGCTGCACTGAGTACCAGATCGGGCTGTTGGGGGCCACCACCGGCTCGGGTGTCAGGTAAAAGGTGTCATTCCGGCCTTTCACACTCTGGGGGCTGAAGAACACATCAATAAGAGCTGGATAAAACCACGTCCATGTCAAACCTTCCACCTCCACCCTCTCAGATACTTGTAGGCAGCAGCAGGAAGGCAGCAGGCCTGAACCCCCTGCAGCCAAGCACGCAGGCCTCCTCTGGGCCACTGCGAGTGCCAGAGGTAGGGCGCCTCCTCACACGCCGCCAGCCGCGGTGCCTCTGATCGACCCCCTCACCCACCCACCCCGGCCCGAGGACTCCCAGAGCTCAGGTGCTAGAGCCCAAGCACATCCCCCTTGGAACGACTTCACCACCCGGAGGCGCCACCTCCAGATCTTTTCTCCTATTGTTTCCTCTACCCTACCCACGCCACTGAAAATCCCTCAGTCCCTACCTCGGGCACTCTGACTCTGAGGCTGCGGTCCTTCCCTGCTTCATCCCAGGCCCCTCGTGTGCTGTGCCTCCTACGACTACTTACACACAGCACATGCCACCCTCTAACAGCCATCCAAGCAGCCACTCAAGATCCACCAAAAGGATACTGCATGCCAGGCCCGCACTGGCTGCTGATATTGAAGAAATGAGCAAGACCCGAGAGCCCCTGCTTTCTGGAGCTCAGAGACGAGAGAGCAATTTAAGTCACACAAGCACACAGACCGAGCACACATGCACGAGCAGCAGCCTGAGGCGACAGGCAGGGAGTCTGGAAAGGCTTCCCCAATAAGGCTGTTTCTGAGTAGAGAGATGGGAGCTGACTAGCAAAATGGGTGGGAGAACGGGGGTTTCCTCAACAGGGAAAAATCCCACACTGAGGCCCTGAGGGAGGGAGCCCATGACCGCTGTGAGCGAGGAGGGGCCACTGCGTCTCGAGTCTGGGGCCCCACGGCACAAGCCTGGTGAGGAGCAGCACGCAAGACGCCTTGCTGGTCACATCAGGGCCACCCTTCCTCTTTGGAGTAAAAAGAAACTACTAAAGATTTTACTCTAAGTAATGTTAATTCCTCCAATGCAGAGGTAACACGACAAAGCGCACAGGCAAGAGACAGCAAAAGCCAAGGGAGAGTCCCTCGGACCAAAGGCAGTAACAAAAGATCAAGGCCACTAAGATGCAGGGCTGTGCTCGACGCGATGGGGCAGCCTCTCGGTGCCCTCCCGCCCCTCCTGTACTGCCCTCTGGTGACAGGGCGCCCACAGGGAACAGGGACCCGTTCCCAGCACAGTGCTGGGCCCATCACGTGAACGGTACTATTTCTCCCTCTCCGTTTGTACTAGAGAATCCTCTGCACAGAGGCACATGTGCGCGCACACGGGGTCACCCGGTCACAGCAAAGCCTCCTCACCATTTAAAGAGGTAGAAGTCGTAGAGCTTGATGGGGCATCTCAGCGGATTCTCTGGATTTTCTGTCTGTTCTGCATACATGTCATCTGTAACTGTAAAACACCCCCACCCGAACACACACGGCGTCAACTGCTTCAGCCGAGCCCAGGATAGGAGACGGGCTGCTGGCCGCCCCAGCCAGGAAGTCCAGGGCCAGTGGGGTGGGGTGAGACATGATGGGCCTGACGAGAACAGGCAACTATCTTTCCTGGGGCATCTCTGCCTCTAGAAGGGTTTGAAGTTTCTGGCTAGGGAGAAAGGAATGGAGAATTCCCGTCCAGCAAATCCAACCTTCACACTCATCACTAGCCCCCCCGGGCCCAGGGCAGGACGGGTGGCACCTGTTTCTGCAGCGCCTCCTCCCGTACCTTTCTGGCCTGTCTGGTGTATCCCAAGTGCCTTCAGGTACCGAATACTCGTGCTTTTATCCTTAGGGTTGGAGGGGTTCTTCTTGGTCTGTCGCAAGACCTTGGAGAAGGCCAGCTTCATGTGCTGGTCCACTGTCTTCAACAGGAAGTATCTGTACCACGAGCAAGGGCGAGGCAGAGGGAGGGGGCCGGGGGCAGGCGTGACTTACCGTCCTCCGGCAGGCGCTGGAGGAGCCACCGCTCGCGCTCCCGCGTCCGGCAGGCCCACACCCGCACACACTGTCTAGCGGGGCAGCCTGATGGCAGGGGGGCGGCAAGGCTGTCTGCCTCACTGGGCGCCACACCCAAGGGAGCCAAGTCGGGCGAGAGCTCTCAGCAGCCCACACGCTCTCAAATGTGTGTCCGAGGAACTCAGAGGTCCGCCTAGACAGTCTCCACCTAGTCACTAGCACCTCCAGCACACTTACTTGGTGTTAAAGAACATGAGGGTGGTCAGCAGAGTGGACGGGGAGTGGGCCCCGAGCTGCTTGCACTCCCACAGCATCTCCTCGGTCACATGGCTGGGCAGGACGTAGCCTAGGGGGGACAGTGCTGCTGCAGCAGGGGGGCCGGAGGGTGGCCTGTGGCCCCACGCAACAGAGCCGCGAGGCACGGCAGGACCATGCAGGACGCGTTTGCCCCAGGTCTCCCCAGGGTAAGGCAGAATCATCTGGGATGCTGGTTAAAACAAGAACAGCTGGGTCCCAGCCCAAATTTCTGGGACCTGGTAACATACATTTCTAACCATTTCCTAAGACCACACTTAGGAAGCACTGCCCTTACCTGATGTTAACTTTTCCTCTAATCCCAGGTTAATGTGGGCCGTAAGGACAGCCCTCAGGGAGAGCAAAACACACGTTAACTGTAGGCCAAATTCTGCATACATACCTATTTCTCTGGAAAGAGGGTACAGAGCTTTCATCAGATTTTCAAAGGTACCCAAGGGCCCAGAGAGCGGGCACACATGCCTCAGTGTGCCTTGCTGAAATAAACTCTTCGGTGCCCCCATCTCTAGAAACAAAGACCATTCTCATCCCCTCTGGATAAGGGGCAGCTGATACTCAGAACTACCCCAGGTTTTCCCCGACAGGGCAGGCATTACTGGGAAACACTGGTTCATAAGGAAACTGAGAGCTGGGCAGGGACAAAGGCTGATGTTTGACCAAAGGCCTGAGCCACCAGGCCCACACGAAAGGAAGGTGGCACTGGGTTCATCACCAAGCCCCCGCCACAACTTCATCCAACAGCCAATGTGCAAGTGTTTGTGTGCCAGGCACAGAGAGCACGAGGAAACAGCAGACACCGGCGTTCTCTTGCAAGAGGTTCAGGATCCCCAGACAGGCAGCAAGGGGCCGCTTCCAAGAGGCAGGGGAAGAAACACAGTCCCATTCTCAATCCTTGCCAAAGCTGGCCCTCCGGCTCCACAAGCATGCCCCATCCCCTTCAGGCACCTCTGCCTCTAATCTTCAGTTCTGTGGCCCAGTGGCAATGAAACAAGGTCCCTAGTCTCAGATAGGTCTGAAGCAGGTCAAGGGGCAGAAGAGAGCCCTCACCGGGGAAGGCCAGCCCTAGGATGGTCCCAGGCATTCCCAGACAAACCCTATTTTCTCTGGGTCACTCTGTCATTTGTTGTCACTTCCCTAGCTTTAATCACTTCTTTACAACACAACATGAAGTTCAATGCCTGAAAACCAGTGCTCCTGACATGGGAGAAGGGAGATGCACAGACATCATATAAAAGCCCTGTAAGTTGTACATATGAACTGCAAGCATCAAAATGATCTTTTACTTTCTATTTTTTAGTTCTGTCCCCTGCAAGGCTTAGAAACAACAATCAACCCAGGAGCAATGAGCACTCCCAGCAACAAGACTATGGTACTAAAACACCATTTACCACTAAAAGAAACGAGGCTCCATGGAGGATTGACTGATTCCACACTGGGACAGGAAACTTCCAAAATGAGCTTAGAACATTTTGGCAAATCAGAAATCAAGAAAGCAGTGTTGTGTCAAAAGAACTTAAGGGCCGATTTAAAGAGGCTCCAAATGTCCAAAGATGGGCCAATTTGTGCATTAGCAAAGGTAACAACTACAATGGAATGAATCATATTAAGCATGTTTAAATTCATTAGTTCACAATTAGTCTTAAAAAAAAAAAAAAAGCTAAATGATTATCACTGGGGGGGGGAAGCTGGTAAGCCAACTCCTGTGAAAACTGCTAAGCAAAGGAAAAGAAACTCCCCGTTAGCCTGCCTCTTCTATAAAATCTAACTTACAGATTCAAAGGTTTGACAAGGAGGAGGTTTCGCCCTGTACGTCAGCAGCATAACAATGAAACCGTCAGCAGCATAACAATGAAACAGTAGTAACATCAGAACTCTCCTCTTCAACTCCTAATCAATTAACGGATCCAGACAAACAGGCATCTGGATAACCTTGCCAAAAATACAATACAAAAATCAAAACCTGATCAAGTCTTTATATGTAACTACCAATTAACTGTAAATACAGAGGACAAGAATATGTTAAAACTACACTGTGGGGATGTCATTAGCAAACATTAGCCTACACGACAATTTAAAAGGCTAGTTTTTTTTCATACATGAATTGCAAGAAAAAAATTGAAGGGGGAAATTAAAGATTAAAACCACACATCAGCAATTTTGATATGTGGGCCTTTGCACCTTGACTCACAAAAAATTTGTGACATGAGACAATGAGAAATTCAAAGGGTTCATTTTGATGACATTACGGAATCATCTTTTCTTTAAAAAAGCATGAGAATGGCATTGTGGTATGTTAAGAATACATTAAAGTATTCATGGATAGTGTCTGGGATTTACTTCAAAATAATATGGGAGGGGCAAAACAGGCAGGCGGCGTACACATGAAACAAGATTTCCCAGGGACAGTAAGTACATGGAAGTGTCATTAATCTATTATGTTAATGTTTACATGTGCTTGAAATTTCTGTAAGAAAATTATTTAAAAACCAACTTTGCACAGCCACACTTGGCTTGAACATCTGCAAATCCTGTAGGAGTGAGTGAGTTACTCAGTCTGCAACGACAGCCCCTCCAAGAGGCATCCCCTATGATACCCTGAACACTTTCTATTCCCTTGTACTTTGCTCTTCAAAGCACTAAATCATAAATTATTTTATTTACATACCCTACTAGGCTATATATAAATTTTGTTCACTATTATATTATCTACACCAAGAATACTGCCTGACACATAGGCACTCAAAAATTGTTTAACCAATGCATTTTTGTTTAAAGAAAATGCTAAGCATGTTAACTATGTGCAGTGAAGAATGTTAATCAGTCAGAATCATTTCACAGTATATACATAGATACGGAAGCATTATGCTGTACACCTAAAAAACTAGTATGTCAATTCTCTCTCTCTTTTTTTAAAAAGATGAAGGAAAAAGAAAAAAAAGGTGGGGGGGATGGTACAGCAGCATAGTTTAATAAATAGCAAAACCAGCAATAAAATTCAGATATTCATGTGGATGTAAGTTTTCAACTCATTTGGGTAATTACCAAGGGGAGTGACTGCTACTCTTATGAAAATGCCAAACGGCCTCTGAAGTGGCTGTACCACTCTGCATGCCCACCAGCGCCAAGAGTGAGAGCTGCCCTGCATTGGGTGCCTCCAGCGGTTTGAGACGTCACTCCTTCTGACAGGTGCCCGGTGGTATCTCGTGGTTTCACCCTACAATTCCCTCCCCTGATGATATATGATGAGCATCTCTTTATACAGGTATCTGCAATCTCTGTATCTTCATTGGTGGAACATTTGTCCACATCTTTCGCCCTTTTACATGAGGCTGTCTTCTTACTATCGAGTGTTAAGAGCTCGGTGTACATTCTGGATACCAGCCCTTCATCAGCTACGTGTTTTGCAAAGACTTTCTCCCAGTCTGTGGCTTGTCTCTTCATTCTCCTAACAGTGTCTTTCGCAGAGAAGTTTTTAATTTTAATGATATCCAGCTGACTGAATTTTTCATTTCACAGACTGTGTGCAGGGTGTTTTATGTAAGAAGTCTGCACCAAACCCAAGATCAGCAAATTTTCTATTTCTAGGAGTTTTATAGTTTTTAGTTTCACATTTAGCTCTAGGACCCTTTTCGAGCTGATTTTATGGAGGGTGTGAGGCCTGCGTCTAGACTCATCTTGGCATGTGGACGTCCAGCTGCTCCAGCACCGTCTGTGGAAACCCGCCCCCTTCACTGAACTGCCGGTGCCCCTCTGTGAAAGGTCAGTTGGTTATGTTTGTGGGGCTCTACTTCTGGGCTCTATTCTGTCCCCCCTGACCTGTTCTTTCACCAGTAACCTGTACACAATGTTTCAGCAGCTTTATTCGTAATTGCCAAAACTTGGAAGCAACCAAGATGTCCTTCAGTACATGATGGATACACAGGCTGGTCCAGCCATACAATACAACATTAATTTGGCAATAAAGGAAGCCATGAAAAGACACACACGAACATTAAATGCATGTTGCTGAGTGAAAAAAGTCTGAAAAGGCTACAGACTGAATTATTCCAATTCCATGACATTCTGGAGAAGGCAGAACTAGAGAGACAGTAAAAAGATCAGTGGTTTCCAGGGCTTCAGGGGAGGAAGTGAGGAATGAATAGGTGGGATGCGGGACTGCAGAACAGCAAGACTGCCGCACGGCACCGCAGACACACGTCATGACACATCTGCCGAAGCTCGCTGAATGGGCGCACCCAGTGAGCCCTAATAAAAACTCTGGACTTAGCATAAGTACTGTATCAATACTGGTGCATCAAGAAAACTACAGAAACATACCACACTAATACAAGAGAATACAGGGGAAATGCTGTGTGAAAGAGCATACAGGAATTCTCTGCACCTCTGGCTCAATTTTTCTGTAAATGTGAAACTGCTCCAAAAAAATGTATTAAGAAAAAAAACACATACACACACAAAACCTTAGACATTCTACTGCAAAGCTCATGTTCTTTCCAATGTGACATGCTGCGCAGGGGGTTACCTATGGGTAAAGTAAAAATTATGTTCTAAAATAGAACATTTGTTCAAACATAAGGATAAAACCCTCAATACGTAACAGGAGTAACCTACAAACAATTTGTAATCGTTAATTTTGCCAATGATTCTAATAATAGGAAAAAAGAGTAACTATCCCATGCTCTGCATGCCCGTGTTCTTGCTAGGACCAGCCAGGTTGTCTGTCTGGTGAGCAGCGCCCGTTCCACATCAGGCCAAGCAGCACAGAAACTGCTGCTGGGGCCTGGGGCTAGGGCCCCCTCACCCCAACGCTGCACCAGCACCAGCCTCACGAGCGTCTGCTCTTTTTCAAACCCAGATGGGAAAGACATCCAAGGGCTAGGAAGACTCTTACCAAGGGGAGTGACTCGGGGCTGAACATCCTTCAGAACTTCATGCAGCCACTCCGTGAATCGAACATAATAAAGATCAGAGAAAATGTCATCCACCCGTCCGTTTTCAAAAAGATACTAGAAGAAAAACAACCAATTAAAAGTGTTTGGTAGTTGCCTGAGTAAGACTTTCAGAGGAAGTAAGACATTCTTCTAACATGCCATCGCCTCCCCCACCTATTCCCTCCCCTTAAGAAGCCACACAGCAGGTCAGAGCCAGGCAGCCTGTGACACTCCCACACTTGCTTCCTATGATGTGACCTGACTTTCCGGGCACTCTCCTGGGGTTAGCGGAGCCAATTTTGTGAAGATATTTCACTCAGGCAGGCACTACCTTGTGGTAGCAAAAACATGATGCAGGCTCTGGGGCCAGCCTCTTAGTAATGGTGTATATTAAATAACTCGTATGAGTCTTTTAACTTTCAGGGCTGTTTTCTTGTGTGTATGTAAATGGAGATACCCATGCCTGCCTTCCAGGGCTGGGGAGAGCATGGAATGAGAGGGAGTGTGGAAAGCAATTCTCCCAGCTCCCTGGGTGAGGTACAAACAGGCAAGCAGGTTTTCTCAAGCCCAGACAAATGGCGAGTCCCAGCCAGCAAGGGCTCTAGAGTCCACAACACTGTGGGCTCCTCCACAAGAGCATTCAAACACCAAGAAACCCACCTCCACTCTCCTAAGCTGCCTGTCCTCAAGTGAGCTTCCCTGTTATGCTTCACCTACAATGCCCTGAAGATCAGTTGTATATTCTAGCTGGACTCCTTCAAGCAATCACTTGTCACTCATGATGGGACAAGCCAGCACCAAGGTCTACTCTGGGTAAGTCACCTTTATGCACAACATAGGTTACTTTAACAGAAAGAGTGTTACATAAATGCTTTGTGAATTAAAAAGAAAAAAGGCTCCAATGTAATATACCAAATAATAGAACAGAAGGTTCTCTAAATGGTGGGATTATGGATGCTCATTCTTTTAAGTGAACATGTACTCTTTTGCAACTTTAAAAAATGTACATTTAAAACCTCATAAAGTTGAAAGAGATGTCCTTATTGTTAACCACTTGCTTGTCATTTTACTAAGTTGAGTAACCAATGGGAACACAGCTCAAAAATGTTCCTGTGAAGTTCTGTTTCCTACCTTTTGAATACACAGGAAAATATAGTAGAGCACATCTGGGTCATAAGGTTCACCTTCTCCATTTCGAGCTTCCCTTGTCATTAGACAGAGCCCGTAATTCAACTCGGCCACAGCAGAAGAGATGAGATCTTCCTGGAATCGCAACAGTTGGCGCCCTGAAACACAAGGCCCTAAGGTGAATGGGGGGCCTGGGAGCAAGCATCTCTCTACTGGCCGCTCGTGTCCCTGGAAGCAGGACTCAGAGCAGTGGCCACCAGGTGTCAGGATGGAAATGGTCACTTGTGTCTATGGTCAGAACTGGCTACCAAGACTGTATATCCTACTATACCGAGGACTTCCTTTCCACAATCCTTCCCACCTCAAATTAGTAGGTAGCCCCAAATTAGTAGGGCCAAGGCATGAAAGCTAAAACCCCCAATGCGCCTCTGCAATGTGAGGAAGCATACAAGCATACTGCTAAGGACGAAGGGCCTGAGCACACTCGCTGCTTCCTATCGCTTTCAGAAGTGGCTCTGCCCATCTGCTAGGTCGACTCCAGAAATCCATGTGTACAAAAATGCCTGGTCTGGGGCAAACCTCACAAATCCTGGTCATTTGCAGCAGGTCAGGCCTATGTGCTGCTTGTCGTGAAGTCAGCATACCACTTCAGATGGTGCTCCCTAGACCCCAGAGCCAAGGGACACCACTTTTCCGCTTCAGTTCCACTGCATTTTAGACAAGAGCCCACCTCCTTCTCCCTCCCTAACAAACACTCACTCCCAATGGGTGCCAGTCTGTTCTGAGCATCCTTCTCTAGCTCAGCGTTCTTGGTCTGGGCCCAGTTTTTCCATACTTCCAGCCCTTCTTCTGGCTTCAGAGAATTTGGAAGCAGAAGTTCTGGGGAAGACTGTGGCTGTGACTGGGGTTCAACTTCAGCAACCTGGACGGTCTGAGCCTATGAGAGAGAAACCATGGAAGTGTTTTGCATCATGCCCTTTGGCAAAACCGCCAGAAATATGTTGCTTATAGATCATTGAATAAAAACATCTCCCTCCGCCTTGCTGTCCTGCTTTCAAAGACCTTTGAATGCCCTACTCCTCACTCCAGGTAGCATATTCTGGTGCAACACTTCTCAGCCTGCTCTACTTTTGAATCTCTGATTTGAAAACACCGATAACTGGGCTCTACCCTGAGGATCTTTTTTTTAACACTTCAATAAAATTTATTTTAAAATGAAATTCAATTTGTGGGAAGGTTTAAGTTCGTAATTCAGTCTCTCTAATTATAGTTCTGTTCAGTGTTTCTTTCTTTTTGCGTCAGTTTTGCTAGTATTTTCTAAGAATTTGTTTCATTTAAGTTGTCCAATTCATTGGTGTATAGTTATTCAGAGCATTCTCTTATAATCCTCTTTATTTCCATAAAGTCAGTGGTAATATCCCCACTTTCATTTCTGATTTTAGTAATTTGAGTTTTCCCTCACTTGGTCAGTCTAGCTAAATGTTTGTTGATTTTGTTGATCCTGCCAAAGAAACAACTTCTGGTTTTGCTCATTTTCTCTATTTTTTCTATGTTATGTATTCCATTCTAATCTTTATTATTTCCTTCCTTCTGTTTGTTTTGGGTTTAGTTTACTCCTCTTCTTCTAGTTTCTTAAGGTGGAGAGTTTGGTTATTATTTGAAATTTTACTTAAAAAAATTGTAGGTGTTTATAGCTGCAAATTTCCCTCTAAGCATTGCTTTTACTACATCCCATAAAGTTTGGTATGTTGTGTTTGCTTTCTTATTCATCTCAAAGTATTTTCTAATTTTTCTTGTGATTTATTATTTGACTTGTTGGTTATTTAGTATATTAATTTCCACAAAATTTTGAATTTCTCAAATTTCCTTGCATTACTGATTTCTAATTTCATTCCATTGTGGTCAGAAAACATACTTGCATGATTTCAGTCCTTTTAAATGTACTGAGACTTGTTTCATGGCTTGGTGTGTGGTTTTACCCAGCTGCCGCACTTGAGAAGACTGTATATCTCCTGCTGCTGTTGGGCGGAGTGTTCAGTGGGTATTCTAAGGTCTAGATGGCCTGAGGATCTTTTTATAAGGGGGTTATCAGTCTTTTAAAAACTCTCTCACATTAAAAAAATCAATTCTAATTTTAGTCACTGCTCAGAACTACTGGCCCAAAGCACTGCTCATCAAACTATAATGTGCGAACAGATCACTTGGGTATTTTATTAAAGGGCAGATTCTGATGGAAAAGGTCTCAGGTGGGACCTGGGATTCTGCACTTCTAACAGACTCCCCAGTGAGGGAGCTGGTCTGCAGACCACACTCTGAGCATCAAGGTCTTGGAGCAGTACTGGTAAACGTGGTTGCACTTTAAAATCATCTGGGCTGCTTTTAAAAAGTACTCATTCAGGAATGGACTAACAGTTACCAAAGGGAAAGGGACTGGGGAGGATGGGTGGGAAGGGAGGGATATGGAGGGGGGTGTAAGAAAGGGGGCATTATGATTAGCATGTATAATGTGGGGGGGCACGGGGAGGGCTGTGCAACACAGAGAAGACAAGTAGTGACTCTACAGCATCTAACTACGCTGATGGACAATAACTGTAATGGGGTATGTGGAGGGAATTTGGTGATGGGGGAGTCTAGTAAACATAATGTTCCTCATGTAATTGTAGATTAATGACAAACAAACAAACAAATAAATAAATACTCATTCAATATGGATGGAGCTAGAGGATATTATGCTCAGTGAAATAGGCCAGGCAGAGAAAGACAAGTACCAAATGATTTCTCTCATTTGTGGAGTATAACAATGAAGCAAAACTGAAGGAACAAAACAGAGGTAGACAAACAAACTCCAAGAAGGGACTAGCGGTTACCAAGGGGGAGGTGTAGGGGAGGGGGGGGAGGCAGGGAGGGCAGGTGAGGACTGGGGGAGAAGGGGATTGAGGAGCATTATGATTGGCACTCATGGTGCGGGTGGGGGGTGGGCCATGGGGAAGACAGTACAGCACAGAGAAGACAAGTAGTGACTGTGGCATCTTACTGCGCTGATGGACAGTGACTTCAATGGGGTATGGAGGGGACTTGATACTATGGGTCAATGTAGTAACTACAATGTTTTTCATGTGAAACCTTCATAAGAGTGTTTATCGGTGATACCTTAATAAAATAAAATAAAAAATGAAAAAAAAGGAAAGCATATAAAGTATCTTGCAGTGTCAGAAAGCAAGATGGGAAGAGGTTTATTTAAGGGACACAGTAGCCAGCTTAAAAGGGCTCCTACTGGCTCCATTTGTGATAGTTTGAGCTTCAAAAGGAATATGACAGCAGTGAAGTAAAACACATTGGACTCAAACAAAAAACAGCAGAACAACAGAACCACAATAAATCCATAGTGATACTCACAAATGAAATAAACCAAAGGAAAAAAAAAGTAGCCTTGCCCAAGCCACATGCCCAGCTTCCGATTTACTTGGTCTAACACGGGGACCTGCCATCGATGTTTCTAAAAGCTCCCAGTTCACTCTAATGTTCAGCGCAGTTGAGAACCATCACTCAGAAAAAGAAGGTGCGAGCTGAGCCTCTCCCACCATTGTAAATGAGAGGGTGGCGCGAGGCTCTGTCTGCTTCTCTCACATTTCTTCTCACTGACACGGCTCTGGCTCATCAGGGCAGCTTCTGAAGACAGGAGGCACCTCTCTGGCTTCCTGCCTCTGCAGGAAGAACGGTCCCTCTCTCGATGGCCTGACAGGCGAGCCGTGCATACAACAGGGCGGAAATGTCCACGGACCTCAATCTCAATCCCCACTGGGAGACAGCCACCAACACGCACACTGGGCATGGGTTCTCGGGTCTCACACACATTTGTTCCTAACAAATTCCCCAGAGCGATTCTCCATGCCCATGTCTACCTGAGGGCTGAGGAATGTCAAATCACTCAAACTAGAGGGCAAAGTAATTCATACATGACATGTCAATTTGCTTATCAAAAATAACAATAAAAACTATCCCACTAGTTTTAGTAAGACATAATTAGACAAGGAGACACAGCAACCCCAGTGCTAGGCCCTTAACTGCCTGTCACTCAGAAGCTTCACGACAGACCCACTTCTCAGTTCAACTCCCATCTCCCTGGTGAGTCTCTTCATTGCCCAGTTTGGATTCCCACATCTGCAGGAATGACGGCCAGCCTGGCACCTCCTGGCAGGACCTCCCCTGAACCCACCTGGGGGGGCTGCAGCTCTCCAGCCGGACATCTCACGGCCAGCTCCGACTAACACCTGCGGACAGAACGCATCCCTCCCGTCAAGAGCGCCCTCCACACCTGTTCACGGGCACCGCCACCTACCCAAGTGGGAAGTTCAGGAGCCTGACTGAATGAGGAGGTGGGGGCCAGGGCACGCAGGACGAAGCTGCTCTACTGGCCTTTCAGCCAGGCCCCCTTCCAAGTGCCAGCCTCCACCCACTGAATGTAACATTTCCAAGAATCTTGACAACAGAAACTCTTCCACACGTGTCCAAACGTCTGATCGGGCAAGGGTGGCAGGAGCCCATGCAGGCTGACATCTACTGTAAGTAGCTTAAGTAGCACCTTATACACGCTGGCATAGAATTTTTCCTATTGATAATAAAGCCCTTGGGAAGTGACATAATCTTAATTTATTAAGAATTATTCCTGCTGATCTATGGAGAATGGACTGAAGAGCAAGTGGAAGCAGGTGCTGGTGGCCTGGACTAGGACGGCAGCAGTGGAGGGGACTTAAGAAATTCTGACAAGGTCAGTAGTAGAACCTATGTGGCTGGTTCACGAACTGGCTGGGAGGAGTGGGGGAAGCAGACTCAGGGATAGGTTTCGGCTTTGGAAAAAGGGGGGACATGGTACCACTTTCTGAGATGGGAAATTTTTGATAGTGGTAGAGGTGAAGCTAATGAACAGCTGAGATACTGTCAATAAATATAAGTAAATGGCAAGCAGAAGCTGCTGAAGGTACAGAAAGGGTCCTGGGGGAAGGTGTGGCTTACAGGTAAAGGTCTGTGCCAACGCAGCAGAGAGGTTAAGACACGGGCCCCAGAGCCAGCTTGTCCAGGGCTGAATCCCAGTTCTGCCACTCACTCACTATCTGTGCCACTGGCCTGGTCGTTCAAAACTCTCTGTGCTTCAGTTTCTTCATCTATAAAACAGAGATAGCAGTACATGCCTCATTAAGACAGGTGTGAGAATAGTTAATACGTGTAACACTGCGAACAGCGCCTGACTGACAGGGTCAGGATTAGCATCTTCAGCAGCAGGAGCTGTTCCCAAGTGGATACTGGACACCATGGCCGTAGACAGAAGGCCCTCAGGGAGAAGAGGCCAGCACTGAGCTCTGTGTGGCTTAGCCAGGGGGCAGAGGAGGACGCAACAACTAAGCGTCCTGGAGTGGAGAAAGACCCAAAGGGCTAGGAGGGAGACCGGAGTGTGTGACCGCATGGACGCCCAGAGAAGAGATTCGAGAAGGCAGGTTATGGCCTGGTGTCCTGCGCTGCCGTACATGAGATAAAAGCAGACGCACCTGTTGACGTGGCCACAGGAGGGCACTGTCGTGGGCAAGTGAGGTCGGCTAGTGCAGGTAACGCTTTTGAGAACTCTGGGAACAAAGTAGAGCAAAGAAACAGGGCAACAGACAAAGGTGGATGGGACGCCAGTGGGGAGGGCTCACCCTATCTCTGGACTCACGGACAGGCAGGAAGAGCTTTCATAAAGGGCAGGCCAGGGGAAGGAGCACAACGCCATCACCAGCTCTTCTCAGGGCTCCACAGCCCTCCCGCCACAGGCTGGGAGTGCGCCAACAGCAGAGACCGCGCCCCAGCGCCCAGCACAGTCTGACAAGGAGGGCAGAGGGGTGCCTGTGGTGTGATGGCTCTTCCCAATTTCCCTTTTTCTGGTAATAATACTTGACACATGTTCTTACAAGACTTTCCCCAAGGAGACATCGGCTCTGAAGAACATGGCCTACTAACATGAGTTCCAGAAAAGACCTCCACTGAAGGGCCCAGATACACAAATCACAGAGCCCAGTGCGACTACAAGGCCAACCTGCAAACTGGCCCAGGCCCAGGGAAGCCGAGGAGAGGCCCAGTGCCCGCTGTCCCTGTGAGCAGAAAGGGAGTGGTGAGGACGGCACAGGCCTCCCTCCCACACGTCGTCATCGTACATGCCTGTGCTGGGCTCTGTCCTGTCGCTGAGACTCTTAGGGGTCTGGAAACACTTCCTACGACAGATCAGATCAAGCCCAACCCACGGCTTTGGGAAGCTGACCCCTATGCCCTGTACTGACTCCTCTGCCATGCTGCCCAGGCCATGTCCCTTTTGTCCACCTCTGGCTCTGTGTTCATGCTGCTCTATTCTTCTGTTAGTCTAACCTACAAACCAGAGATCAAATGCCACATTTACTAAAAAGGTGCCTTTTTAACCTAGAATGAGTTCTGGGTTCCCAGTGTGTCTCTGTGTGTGACACACAATGTCACACCAGACTGTGCTGCCTTATAAGTAACTCAGCAACAGGAATCATATGCTCACTTCCACAACTAGACTATACGCTACACGAAGGAATGACTCTGCGTCACTCTACTTCTAGGCCTGGCCACTGGATGTCTAGTAGGTCCTTAACAGTCACCAAAGGGGATACACTGCCGCCTATGAACCAACCTGGTGAGGCTCTGCCAAACCAATCATGTGTGACCTGTGTTTCTCAGTGTGGTACCCGGCCTAACAGTGCCTTATTTGTGCCAGCTCCTGCGCAGGCTTTCCCAAGAGCCCCTGCCCTCCGAGGCACACCGTCTTCAGGTACCCGTGAGACCAGAGGCCCTATACCCGCTCGAAAGGTCCACCGGACAAGGGACTGGGAAGTTTACTTATAGTCTTGAAAGACGGGTCTATCCACACCTCTGTGACAGCCTTAAAAGGATTAACCACTAGAAAAGATAAAAGAGAGTTCTATTTTGGCAACTTTTCTGTAAACCTAAAAGTATTTCAAAATAAAAAGTTTTAAAACTATTTCAACGTAACCACCAGAAAGCTGGGTTAGTGAAAGCTAATCTTCACTTTTCAGGAACATGACGGCACCTTTGGGAGGCCCCACAGCACAGGTAGTGAGCAGTTCACACCACCCAAAGGTGCTCCCTTTCCCAGCCCCAGCATCTGCTAGGGGTTTGAGACGTTCTGATCCAGCTGCACTGTGAGGACGGATGACACTGAGGACCCATCTCCCCATGGTGAGTGCACAGCCCGTGATCTGTTCAAGTCCCAGGACACAGGGCCGCACGTGGGTGGCCTGTGAGTCTCTACCAAGAACTCTGCTCTTCCTGAAGACAGACTGCATGGAAGTGCCCCAGGCCCCCACCCCCAATGCAGTTCCTGGCCGTTTCACCTATGTCTCATCTCCCCCACCCCAACCCCACACTAGGGCAAGACCAGCATCCTGGCAGGAAGCAGGCCAGAGGCACCAGTGGCCGCCAGCACACCCTGTGTTGCGCCAGGTCGAGGGAAGAGGCGGCCTCAGACAAGTGCCACTTACTGAACACGGGACCTGGAGCTGCTGCGGCGGTGGTGGCGTCTGCTCCTGCGGGGGCTGCTGTGGCTGCTGCTGGGGGTCCCATATGTGGACAGTCTGAGCTGTATTCTGGTACGTGCCTGCCACGGCCTGCACAGCCACTGGAATGTGGATGTTGCCATTCATGAACTGTGCTGGAAAGAGAGAGTTTGCCAGGGTCTGCACCACCTCTTCATGGGAGTTTTTCACTACAGATGTGGTGCCCACCATCTTCTCCTTGTCATCCTCAAGCTTCACAGCTGCCAGCGCTGTGGGCGAGCCACTGACATGAACTGTGTTGTAGGCTTCCTGGGGAATGGCGATGTGCGTAATGCTCTGCTGCTGAGGGTCCCCCCGGGGCTGGGCAGAGTACACAGGGATGGTCCAGGTCTCTCCAGTAGGGCTAGTAATGGTCCCAGTGGCACTGTACAGGTGGGCACTGTCTACCGTCAGTAGGTCCGGCCTCAGAGACACGTAACTCTGCTGCTGGCCCTGTGGGATGGCCAGCACAGTGGCCACCGGCTGCCCTGAGATGGCATAGGACACAGTGATGGGCATGTCCACTTTGCGCTTCTTCACCGGCTGAAGGACGCTGGCAGTGCCGACCCGCCGCTCCCCTTCCCGGGGTGAGCCCTGCTGGGACGGTGGTGGGGAGAGAGCGCCCACGGTCTGGATTTGGATCTGCTGGCCCCCAGCAAAAGACTGGCCAGCCACCAGCTGGGCCTGGATCTGCTGATGGGGGATGTGCTCCTCCGGGATCTCAGCGGCCTGGATCTGCTGGGCCGCCTGCACGTGCTGCACCTGGATCTGGGCTGCCTGCAGCTGAGAGGGGCTGGGGCTCTGCAGAGATGGGGTCTGGATGGAGGGGGCTGCCGACTGCGGGGCTTGGCCTTGGATCTGCACCTGGACCTGGATGGGCTGTTCTGCAGGTTGGTGGACAGTGAGCTGCGGGGAGAGCTGCTGCGCCGAGACCTGCTGCGGAGACTGCTGCACCTGCACCTGCACCTGCAGTGACAAGGCCTCAGTGAGCATGTGCATCCCAGACCCTTGCACGGCCCCACCGCACACTCAAAGCCACCCGCTCCCCACCCCCACCCCACCCCCACCCTGCTCTTTTAAAGCTTCACCCCTTTGTTTCTGCACATTAGCATAGCAGTATGAGTGTATGACTTATAAATATTTAAAAACTAATTTATCCATGGTAAGTGAAAAGAGTTGCAGGGACCGATGGTCTAAAAACTCAGAAAAACAAGTACGTTCCACAGGCATTCAATTCCCAATTCAGGATCAAAACTACCCCTACCACAAGCAAGTGGAAAATGGAGCAGAGACAAAACTCTTCAATCTCTTTTGGCTATATCTCAAACTTTGCTGCTAAAATGCAGGCACTGATGAATGATTCTCTAAGAGTGCTTATTCCAAATACCTCTGTTTTACTTACAAGCCATTAAAATGCTACACCATTCTTGGTAAGTTAACTTAAGGTTAGCGTATTATTTCTGGATCACTGACTTCTGAGAATAACACAGCTCGTGTCTCACTGCTGTCACGTCAGCACAAAGAGCAGCATGAAAGGATACTATTCATGGTTATGTCATTAAAAAAAGAATTTTCCACCACACGCAACGTATCTAAATTGCTCTAAACACAGGCAGGAATTAGGAAGATAGAAAACAAAAAGGCAAATGAAGGACTCTAGTAACAGAACACGACACACCACAAAAGACAGACAAGGATGGGGTTGGGGCAACTGGCTATGCCTATGAAAAGATGAGCTGACCCCTTCCTCATATCATACACACAAAAAAAAGGGACGGCATCTGAACAGACATTTCTACAAAGAAGATACGCAAATAGCGAATAAGCACACATGTTCTTGGGACCGACCTCAGAGCAACAGAATCAGAAATTCCAGGAAATGGGACAGCAATCTATATCTTAACACGTCCCCCAAGTAAAGGATGCACCCTCAAGTTTGAGAACAAGTGCTTTACACCAAGGACATAAAGGAAACTGTGAAGCCAATTACTACAGAACGGCAGTTTTCAAGCTTTCCGGTCTCAGGGCCCTCTCAAAAAATTACTGAGGACCTCAAAGAGCTCTTTAAAAGAAAAAAAAACAAACAAAAAAAACACATAGGTATAGATAGCAGTTACTGCATTAGAAATTAAAAACTAGGAAATTTTTAAAAATATAAATTCAGATAAACCAGGCAGAGAAAGACAAGTGCCAAATGATTTCCCTCATTTGTGGAGTATAACAATGAAGCAAAACTGAAGGAACAAGATAGCAGCTGACTCAGAGACTCCAAGAAGGGACTAGCGGTTACCAAAGGGGAGGGGTGGGGGAGGGCGGGTGGGGAGGGAGGGAGAAGGGGACTGAGGGGTACTATGTTTAGTACACATGGTGTGGGGGGGTCACGGGGAGAACAGTGTAGCACAGAGAAGGCACATAGTGGATCTGTGGCATCTTGCTGCACTGGTGGACAGTGACTGTATTGGGGTGTGGGTGGGGACTTGATAAAATGGGTGAATGTAGTAACCATATTGTTTTTTCATGTAAAACCTTCATTATAGTGTATATCTTAATAAAAAATTTAAGAACATATATTTTATATATACATATATATATATATATATATTCAGTAAAAACTACCACATAAACCAATTACATATTAACATAAATACTTTTGAAAAATAAGGTTTTTGGCAAAATTTGCCAAAACAAAAAATTTTTTTGTAAGAGTTGTATTATTCTGCATTCTTACAAATCTAATGGATGACTTCACTGAAGACAGCTGGATTCTCATCTCTGCTTCCGCATTCAATCTGTTGTACACACATCACACAAGGCCGCTTCAAAACTTTTTTCTTAATTTCTTCAACATTTCTAGGCTATATGGTTCAATGCAAGTTTTTTCAAATTGTTGCAAATCTCAGAAAGTATTTCCTATATACTTAATGATAAAAATCCACGTTTAAGTGGACCCTTGACATTTCAAACCTGTACTGTTCAAGGGTCACCTATATTAGATCTATTGTCTCAAAGAAACCAACTGACAGACTGATATCTAAACAAGAATAATTTTTTTTTAAAGTAAATTGAAACTTAAACCTACACTTAAGGTGATTCTCAAGAAACAAAAAGGAAAAAGCTCATCCCTAAGCCTAGTACATGCTGGACAGCCTCTGCATCTATGAGAGAGGGAACATCTGTGGGGAAAATGAACTTGGTTTTACTGCTTCAAAAAGCACTGTCTCTCACCTGTCAGCCCCTCACAAGCCATGTGGCACTTCAGTTCCCTTCACATGTCAATCATGCTTTCTCGTTCAGCTTCCTCCACCTTTTCTAGAATGTTTAATTGCTTCTTTTTTTCTGTTGATCGGAAGAGATACACTTAAAATAGCTATACCCCCGGGCTCTCCATCACACATCACGGACAGCACTCACTGCTTCCTCCTTGAGCAGGCTGACTTTCAACCTGGACACACTGCGTTCTGTGTCTACTGGGCAGCTACCAAACTGGGATTAGATCTCCAATCTGAGCGGCTTCTATTGTTACTATTTTCATGACTTCTCTCCTAGGTTCTTTGTTTCATTTGTGGTCAACTTAAGCTTTTCAGGAGTATGTTCTCAAGGTAGCCCACAGATGAGCAGCATTAACATCGACCTTGGAGTTTGTTAGAAATCCAAGTTCTCTGGAAACAAAAATACTATGTCAAAGAGATATCTGGAACCCTGTGTTCACAGCAGAATTATTTACAATAGCCAAGACATGAAAACAATCTAAGTGTCCATCAACGGATGAAGAATTTGTAGTATATACAATGGAAGATCATTCAGCCATAAAAAAAGGAGAAAATCCTGCAGTTTGCAGTAACATGGATGAACCCTGAAGGCATTATGTCAAGTTAAATAAGCCAGAGAAAGACAGATACTATATGATCTCACTTATATGTGGAACCTGAAAAACAAACTCAGAAAGATAGATCAAATTTGTTGTTGCCCGAGATGCGGAGGAACTGCATGAAGACGGTCAGAAGGCACAAACTCCAGGCTGTAAGACAACAAGCACTAGAGACGGGGTGTCCGGATGAGGACTGCAGCTCACACCCCGCAGGATATACAGGCAAGTTTTAAGTCAGTGAATCCTGAGTTCTCATCACAAGCAGAAAAATTTTTTTAATCTGTGTAAGATGATGGTCATTAACCAAACTTACTGTGGTAAGCATTTTGCAACATATATAAGTCAAATTATTAAGCCACATATCCTGAACTCATACAGTGCTGTATGTCAATTATACCTCAATAAAGCTGGTGTGTGTGTGTGTGTGTGTGTGTGTGCACGCACACAAGCACATGCAGGTTTGCAGAACAGACCCATGACCTGCTGAATCAGAATGATAAGGGGAGCCACTTCTGTTTTAAGAAACCTTCCAGATGAGTGTAACAGGCCCTAAAGTGTGATATCCACTAGTCTCCAAGTTTTATTGGACCTCACTTGTCTAGGTTCTTAACTAGTTTGCTGGTGAATAATCTACTTCTTTTTCCTCAGTGTCATTCAGAAACTGGGTAACCCAGAGCTCAACACCAGGTAAGGACTTAAGTGTTCCAAGTGAGGAACGGCGAGGAGCCCTGGGATAACACATTCATTACCCACTGGGGGTTTCCCCTTCCAAACGATCACTGAAGCTTAAAAAAAATGCACATCTAGTATCATTTCTTGATTTTGATTTACTTTATTTCTGACTAAAGTAGAAGACACGCATTTTATTTAAAAGAAAATAAACTGGGTGTGTTGGGTGAATATCCATATTCCACCTAATAAATCTTGAAAATTACTTATTAGGGAAATAAATTACTTAGGGAAATAAGAACAATTCCTCTTTCAACATTTCTCTAAGGCTGGACTGGACCGATGCCCATTAGCTAGTTACATGTTGTTAGCAGTCACATGAGATGTCATTAGTCCGAATTACCATGTGCTTTACAAGCATGAAACACAACCAGATTTCAAAAAATTTGTACCAAAGATAAACAAAATAGTTCAGCAATAATATATACTCATTGTATGTTGAAATAACATATTGGGTTAAATATGATTTTGAAAAATTCAATTTCACCTCTTTCTTTTCCCCCTTTTAAAAAAGAGGCTACTGGAAAATTGAGAGTAAGATCTATGGCTCCCATGCCATTTCCTGTTCTAAGTCTCACAAGGAGAGAGCTGAGGCAGTGCTATGGGTGACAGAAGATGACCCCATTAAGGTAGAAATCACAGCACTTGGGGTCCAAACTGACCTGTGCCTGTTAACAACTATAAGCAAACTGTAGGGATCTTGGCAGAATTCCACCGCTCAAGTAACACTGTTCTGAAAGTGGTTAAGTCTCTATCCAAGTATTAGACATTTACCAAACTCTTATACAAATAAACTCAGAAACACAGTCAAGGAAGAGATTTAAATGTGCGTAAAAAACTGACCATAAAGGGCCAAAAAGGCAGCAATAAATGGTCCACCAAATCCCCATCAGCCCACAATGCACCAGTGAGAAAGTAGCTGATTTAGTCCTATGTTTGGCTACAAACCCACATTTGCAGAATTCACCATCTTACGAGATGCGCCTCCCCAAGGCAGAAGCTGGAACAACTTCCCCAACCTCTCCTGCAACTGGAGTGCAGGCATGTGAACAAAGCCTCCCAAATTAGACACAGTGCATGAAATTCGGACACAGAAGAGACCAACATGAGGCAGCAAGAACCACAACTCCACTTTCTGGAGAGAGTGGAGGCCTGTGGCAGAAATGGAACAAGATGGCATGGCTCCAAGTGAGACTGGGAAGGTTCAGAGCTGCGCCCAGGGGTGTGGCTGAAAGTCTCTGCCACAGGCTAGCAATGTGACCTGAGTCCTGTTCCTGACCATGATGCATCCAAGACCCATTCTCTGGCCCTCCCATAAATTCCCTGAGCTAACTACTATCCTTTAATCAATTCTTTTTCTGAGTCTACTAGAGGATGTGGGGGAATGCTGCCTCCTAGTTATAACCAAGAATCAAAACCCAGATGGATACAGAAAACATACCAAGCTGAAAACTTTAAAACAGTACTTAGCCCGGGAGAGGGGATGTTCACAGAGGGTACCAGAGATTTCAACTGCATCTGTAACATTTGTCTTCAAAAAAAAAAAAGGCAAAGGGCCAACTCAGAAGGAGTGCTCTTCTACTTGTGTGTAAATGTCTGTCTGGATGTTTTTCAAATGTTTGAAGAGCAACCGGGGCCTGGCACTAACAAGAGGAGGAAGAGGAGACACCCGCTCTTACTGAGGGCGCACCATACGCCAGGCGGTCTGTTAGGGCTCAGAGTCACTACAACATAAATTCTCTTGTTTCCATGATGTAAATAAGGAAATGGACTCAAAATGGCTAAGTCACTTGCCTAAGATAACATATTTAAAGTAGCAGAGGGAAACTGACCTCATGTTTGTCTAAGGGCCACGTCTGGCTCTTGATTACCACCTTCCTGACTTTCAGCAGTTCTTCACCGCAGTGAGGGGTTTGGACGGTCCCAGCACAGAGGGAATGTGCAATAGCAAGAAGAAAAAGGAAGAGGAACCCAAGTCAGGATGACAAATGATAAGACTTGTACTTTGTGCCAATGAAGCCTTGGGATCTTTAACTTCTGGCAACAAGCAGAAGTGCTGTGGAGTCCCCTTCCCCAGGGCATCCTCAGTGGGGCCAGACTGAGTTCCTGCCCTGTAGAAGGGCAAAGGAGAAATGCATTTTAGGGTGCAGGCCCCTGGCATATGCCACCAGAGGGCCCTCTCTCTGGCACACACGTTTACCTCCACGCGGATGCATTAGCAAGCACACAACTCAAGAGAGCTCTTGAAAGGAACGTTCCCAATGAACCTTCTCACCGAGCTTCAGCAGACCTGACGGTGACAGGGAACTGAAGCTGTTCCCAGTATTGCACAAAATGCCAAGGTATTTCCACGGGAACTCTTCCTTTTGCCTTCAGGAGGTTCCTCCCCAGCTTCATTAGATGTATGCTACTGTGATATTGTCATATAAGAAGAAACATTATTTTGGTCTCTGTCTCTGGTTCCTGACCAGAGCTCCTAAAATCTCTGTCATTTCCTAAGCAATAATAAAGGTGCAAGGAGCACCGTGTGTTCTGAGGCAACTCTGGGTGGGCTCCTGAATGGGGGGCAGTCTCCAAAGAAGACAGAGCCATGCTTAAAAGTTTGACACTTTCAGCCCCGCCCCTCATTCTCTGGGGAAGGAAGAGGGGCTAGAAAGTGAGTTAGTAATCAATCACGATAGAGTCACATCCAAGTCCCAAAAGCATGGGACTCGGGAGCTTCTGGTTGGTGAACATATCCATGTGCCGGGCACGTGGTCCACCCTGAATCCACAGGACAGACGCTCCTGCACTCAGGACCCTTCAGAACATCTAATTAAAAAGCTTCTGCCCAGCAAAGGACACCACCAACAAAATGAAAGGCAGCCTACTGAACGGGAGAAGACACCTCGAAATGATACATCCCATAAGGGACTAATATCCAAAATACATAGAACTCACACAACTCAACACCAAAAACACAAATAATCTAATTTAAAAAATAGGCGGTGGACCTGAATAGACATTTTTCCAAGGAAGACATACAGAAAGTCAACAGACACTTGAAAAGATGCTCCACATCACTAATCCTCAGGGAAATGCAAATCAAAACACAATGAGATATTACTTCACGTTAGTCAGAATTGCCGCTATCCAAAAGACAAGAACTAACAAGTGTTGGCTTGCTCACTCCCAAGAAACTTACATCAATTTAGCATCTCATAGCCTTACTACCCTGGGTGAAATCTTTATAAATGCTTTCTTCTCTAATAAATGAAATACGGTATTCAATTAAAAAAATTTACACCTCCACGATCACCACTAGCAGGAAGCATCTTTTTATATGCTTATTAGCACCATCTGTATTTCATCTTCAATGACCATCTACTTCTATTTGTTCTTTTTTCTAGTAAATTATTTTTTTCTATCTTCTAAGAATTCTTTGTGTATATGGAACACCAGGTTAGGAGCACAGGATTGAATTGAAACTGTGTGGACGCAAATAACTAGCTATCAAAATATGATTTAACCTCCTTAGGTTTTACATGCTATTTTTAGTTTCAAAAATCATAATTTTAAAGAAAATTATATATAGAGACCTATAAAAGAAACCAAGAAACCTACATGAGTATACCATAATTCTGCAAGTGCTACGTATATATTTGAGTCTGATGTCACTCAGAAAAAAAATGTTTTTTTCAAAGTCATATAACGTTCTATCTTTAACCTTATTTTTTTTTATTGTCAGGCTTATGATTTTGGTAGCTTTAGATTTATTCATTCACAGTGTCAATTTTAATGTATGTAACATTAACATCAATTTAAAACCGTTATTGAAATTTAATTTACAAAGCAATCTTTTAAAAAAATTAAATCCCATTTGGCTTAGGTCAGTTATTAATGAAAATAAATTTGCCTTAAGAGTTTTTTAGTTTTATGAAAAGGAAAGAAAGATTAGTCTCCAGAAAGGTGGGCCATATAATACAAACCATATCTCAGCAACTTATATGGTAGAAATTTGTGATAGGATTTTTAGGACTACTTAAATATGGCAAAAAGCCTCAAGTAGGTAATTTTTTTTTTTAAGGGAAAGATGAGGTTTCCTCTATCTGCACTAATAGCTTGAATTACAATCGGCAGCTTACGTGGGGAAGGGAACCATGCTCATGTAGGAAAGGAGCCTGTCAAGTTGGCCCAGGTGCAGATTCACAGCAAAAAGTGGGTTCTTCCTTTCAAAAGCGCTGACGACCATTACTGAGTTACTGTGCCTCTGACATGCAGGTCAAGCCAATGCTCCATAAGCTAAAATACAGTGATTGCTATGCAAGGGCTCCCTCAAACCTGAACATGTTTCAAGGATTTCTTTAGGGCATAAACACTGGAGAAAGTGATCTCAAAGTTTACTTGGCTTTTCACAACCTAAAATTACAAAAACGTCCTATACTGCCTGTTGAGTTATTGTTTTGTTTTTATCTGACTCTTTAACCCGTCTGGACTTTATCTGTATTATGAGAGGTATCTGACTATTTTCAAGAGAAGCACACCGCCTTACTCCACTAACGGAATACATCCTTTCCCCACCTATTAGGAAAGTCCTCTTCATCCTGAACCTGGTATCTACTCATCATGTATGCAGACAAATATGTGCATGTAGGTTTTCAAGTCCCTGGCTACCTCCCAACCCATGGGGGGTCTGAGGCTACCCCCAAGGGAGCCAGGACCTGCTTTGTATTCAATTCTTGGCTTAGAACCCCCCAAGAACTGCTCTGCCTTCCTTTAAAGTTGTCTCCTACATGAATTCTTCTGTCAACCTGATTCTGTCTGCTTCCTCTCTTTTAGCAATTTCTTAGATTTAGTGATTTTTTTGATGGCATTTGTTTTTTCCAGCACTGCTAGAAGTTCTTCATTTTAAGTATCTTCTCAGTCACCTAAAATGGAGAAAATGTGTTCTTATGAGTCCACAATATTGAACCCATCTCATAGATTTATTATTACATTTCTTCTTTCATTTACAAGGGCGTTGGGAAAGATGATGTTAATATGTGCTCAATCAGCCACCTTGAAGATAAATTCTCAAACAACACTTTAACACAAATTCCAAACCTAAAATTTTAATCTTATGAAAAAAGAGGTCCAATCCAAGCTGTAAAAACAGCAAAATAATTTCTTGAGCCAAAAGCCAGCCTCCTCCTAACCTACCTTCCTGTACCCTTCCTTCTTTACAAAGACTGGAATAAATGGTGACTGCCTCCATCCATGTGTCAGATGCTTCCTGGTCTATCACCTCACTCAAGTCTCCCTAAACGGTATTATTCCTATTTGACAAATGAAAAAATGTGGGCTAAGAAGATCAAGATCATGTCAACAAATAAGAAGTCAAATTTAAACCTAGGAATGCAACTCCCAAGCCCAGTCCTTCCAATACACCTGCCTGCATTCCTAAGGGGCAAAGGGGCCACAGCTGAACCTTCTCCCTCAGCAGAAACACCTCTCCACCATGTCCCACTCCCTTTCCTTCTGGATGGTAAAAGCATAGAGGACAAAATGCGAGGCAACCACAATAAACGTTAGCAAGAAAGCAGCATTCACAACTAGAGAAGACTGTCAGTTTCACCTGAGGAACCTCTCAAACCCTTTCTAACCTCTTAGAAAATTTGTTAGTTTCCCCTCTTTGAGTAAGATTATCAATTGGCATCATTTCCTGAGGTTTATAAATAGCCAGTGCAGACCTAGAAATCTACAGGTGACAGAGTCATGGAAACATACGATTAAATGAAGATCACTAAAATATATCAGCCTTTCCATTTTAAAACAAGTTCCAAATGGGATGCTTAGCAATGAGCTAAACTAGACTCCATGTTCTGGACCTGCTCAGGGTGACAGACAAAAGGGAAGCTTCAGTCACACAGAGCTGTGTCTCATCCAAATACAGTCCCAGAAGACCTCTAATTTCTATACTGTTCAAGTCTCTCAAGCAAATGACAAACACCTGTGGTCTTTTATTTACAATGGTTGCAAATATTTTTAGTCTGCATTAACTATGAAAGCTTTTCTGTTAAAATGTTTCAAAAAAAACAGCATTATTTCTCTCAGTGAAAATGACTTCTCGTATCTGTATATAGATGCCATGCTTCTACTAACCAAAACCTTGGTGGCAAACAGTCAATTAAAGAGGATGCACCTTGTTTCCCTTTTACCTGAACCTGCTGTGGCTGCTGAACCTGGATCTGCTGTTCTTGCTGGGTCTGCGGCTGAACACTGGTGGTAACTGGACAGGCAAGTTCAAGCAAAGACCCAGCCACTTCGGTGCTGTCTGTGTAAATGCAGTTCCCGCCCTGCTGGTACACCATGGCAGTGGTGGCCGTCTGCTGGAACTCCTGAAGGGCTTCTGGCCCCTTGGAGGCTAACGAGTCCAGAAATTCCTTCATCCTGTGTTGTGGGACAGACCGTGCCTTTACTCGGATGTACTCTTCAAAGGAGATGGTGTTCTCCAAAGAATTATTCATATTGCAGAGTTCTTAGGGTTCCTAGAGATAAAACAGAAGTCAAAATTACGCTGTCTTTCACCTGGAAATACACAGAGCAATCACTTCCAGCAGAGTGGAATATTCAGGACAGCTATATACACCTGGAATCCAAAAAAGTTTTATTATGCCAACTCATTTTTTTGGTGAATGGTTTATGAAAATAGTTTCCATAAACGTTTCTTAAATCAAACCACCACACTGAAAACAACAAAGCAGACATCACAGCAGTGGATGAACACGCTGAAGACACGCTCTGCCTGCTGCACGGGGGCCATCTGTCTCCTCTGCACAGCCAAGCCCTGGGCAGCAAGTCCCATGCAAAACTGCTCTGCAGCCATCACAGAAGGGCCACCAACTGCTCCAGGCAGGGGTTCCTGCCACCGCCAGAGATGCCCTCCTAGGAAGGAAGCGGTGCACCACCAAGCTATGGCTAGGCCCTGCAGACACCATATGCCGCTTTCATTCCCAAACTCTCACTCTGCCATCTACTGCTCACATTCTTTGGCAGCATAGTTGACTGGATAAGAGCATGGATTTTGGAGCCAGCCAGCCTGGGTTCCAATCCCAGCTCCATCTCTTGTAGGTGTTAACTGTGGATAGCAAGTTAGCCTGCGTTTCCACGTCTACAGAAAGGGGATAAAATAGCATTTACCTCATGGAGCTGACATGAGGATTACATATCTGTAAAACACTTAGAAAAGTCCCTGACACACAGGCAGTGCTACATCTGTGTTAACCAGTATTAATAAAATAAGTAGCAGAGTAATGACTCTATAACATCTTACTACACTGATAAACTGTGACTGCAATGTGGGGGGGGACCTGATTAATATGGATGAATGCCGAAACTACAATGTTGTTCATGTGAAACCTTCATAAGATTGTATATCAATGATACTTTAATAAAAAAATACATAAATAAATAAAATGAAAATTTGGGGGGGGTGGCTGCTGAACAGTGATTTAAATAAGTAGGTCACTACCAAAATCCAGAAAACAGTTCTTCCAGTTTTTCACAGGGGTCTTGACCTTAAAACTTCATGTGCGAGGGGCACAATGACTCTCCGTCCACCGGGGACGCCCTGCTGCTGCTTCGGTGCCATTCTCTTCCAAGCAGCACCAGCTCCCGAACACAAGTGGCAGTAGGACACGAGTAGCACAAAGCAAGCGAACCTTTGCCAAAAAGGACTCTTAGTCAGTATCCAATGTCAGAGACAGTGATTTCTTTTCTTTGCCATCACGCTGGGAATACCAGTTCCTCTTTCACCACCCAAATGTTCTGCTTATGTTACAGATAGAAGATGTGTAGGTAATCAGCTCATCTCGTCCCCCTGCCGCCGGTTCTGAACTTCTGGCAGACAAGACTGTGGCCTGGTCCTCTCTGAACAGCTGACACATGGTAGGTGGCGGCTTCATCTACATCCGGTGCATTTAGAATTTAATGTGGAACAAGAAAGACTATGGTTCTTTGTTCCTGTAACATCTGTAACTTAAAGTAATCAATGTTATGCTTTTCCCTAGTAAACAGTTAGTACACACCTTGGGGAAAAAAACCTATATAACCAGGGAGAGAATGAGACCATAGAAAAAATATGACCCTTGCTGCTATTAATTTACTGACACTGGCAATATTTCTGTGGGGCACCATGTAAATATAGTATGTAAATTATATACAGGTGCTTTCAAACAGAATGGAGCCAGCAATAAATGTTTTATGATGATGCACATACATTTCTCCATAAACCAAACCACCACTACATACACCTTATCCTTTCTAAAATCAAACCCTAGCCCACGACTCCCAGAAGAGCCTCCGCTTCTCAGGAAACCCCAGGCTCAACAGACCTCAGTGAACGAACAGTAGGTGCAGGTCAGGATGCAAGGCTGGTAAGGCCGGTGCTGATGGCCTCGTCTCCTGAAATTTAACTTGCCTATCCCTCCCTCACCTCTGTTCTTACTATCTCCCTGCCCTGCTGTCCCTTCTTCCCACTGCAGCAACTTTGCAGTAATCTTCTCTCAGAGCAGGAAATCAGGAGGTCTGCTATGCGACTTCGAGATCAAGCCATCAACAGCGTCCACGACACTTAGGGATGAGAAGAGCACCAGGGCCCAGCACCCCATCCTTCTACCGCATGTTCAGAGCGGGCGGCTCCAGTGTAGGCGACCCACCCTCACTCACCGCACTGGCACAGAACTGTCACAGCCTCTCTTTGGTAAGAGCATCACAACTGAAATTTCCTTCTTAAGCATTTGCCATGACAGAGAGCTCACAACATTACGAAGTTCACAATACATGACTCTAGTGTCTAATTCCATATGGGACAAAGGAGAGATTATACCAACAGCCATTAACCAGTTCTTCACCAGGCTAGCCCACATTTCAGTTTTCCCCTCCATTATAAAAGAACAGCAGAGGCCAACTGAAATTTACATTTCCCAAAATGTATTGTCTTCAACAGTCCCATAAAATTCTGAAAACACCGCTTTAATTTTGAAGACTGCCTGTGCTGCAATCATATATACTGTGCCAAAGCAAGTTTTTTTTGAAAAGTATAGGGAATCGTGCAGAAATTATTTTGTCTAAAATGTGAAAGATAAATAGGAGAAAACAAAAATATAAAACAACACTGAAAACTAAGTTTATAGAAACAGAAAGCCTTCATAAAAATACTGCCTGGTAAAGGGGTCCCTCAATCTTCTCGGTGGCTTATTTCTCTTCACTCTTTCAAGCTTTAGTAACTCACAAGATTTAAGCCTCATGTGAAGTCTGCTGTTAAGTATAAAAGAGAGCTGCACCAACTTTTCTTCTAAAAAACTAGCTTTCTACAGTTTTCAGTGAGAAGTCCACCTAGTTTTTAGTTGGCTGTTTTCATCTTTTTTTGGGGGGTGGGAGGTAACAGTAATACATGCGTTTTCCAAGAAAAATGTTCAAATAGTGTAGGAAGATATACAATGAAAAGTGAAGCATCTAAGAATGCTTTCTTGATCTAACAGGTTTAAACACTGATCTGTCCTTTCAGAAAGGTGAGTTTAGGGCATTTAAATCACCTTGCTCTCACCAATTCTGTCAATCACATTTTTACTTTTGCCATGACCACTTTCACAGCTTTAAACCTCTATTTGCAGACTCATTAACTTTAGAATATCTCTGAACTTTCCACCATGTAAGATCAGGAAATTAAAGTTTCGTGCCCTCTATTTTTGACCAGCATTTAGCTAAGTGACTATAGCTTATGTTTAATTAACCTTTTAATTTCAAGACACAGCATTTGATACCAAATCAAACTCAGATTATTAAAAAAAAAGTTCCAAAGATAAAAACTTTTCTCCTCTAAGAAAATCCTGTCAGTATTTCTAGAATACTACCTCAAAAAATCACTAAAGAAACTCTAGTCCAAATACACATTTACTCCCTGAGCAGACGATCAAATAAGACGGATATGTTACTCTCAAAAAGAATGGATAAAAGCTTGGAAAAGTATCTACTCTGAGGTCTCAAAGTTCATTCTTTAAGCTTTCATCAAAAAAAAGGAGAGGATCAAGGCCCTGAAGTAGGGAAAATTCCATAAAATTTAGAAAACGCTGATAAAGGTTCATTCATATACATGTGTTCATTGTATTTTTCTCTATGCCTATGAAAATCCCTGAAATGTTCTGTAATACACACACGTTTTGGCTAGCAGCTAGCCACGTGTTGTCCATATGATGCCCCTCTGCAGTGCCCCAGTGGGTGCTCCAAGCAGAGGGCACAGCTTCCCAGCTCTCACTGCTTTTGTCTTCCACTAGGGCCCCAGGAGGCTCTTCACGGACTGTGCCCAAGTCCACAGAACCATCAGAGAACGACGGAGTCAGAGGAAGGTAAAAAATACTAACAAATAATGGATTAAATGGAGAGAGCTTAAACATTTAATGGAAAAGGCAAATTTGAAAGAGCATTCCCATCTGTCCATTTATACATACTAAAATATACATGGCTTCATTTCTTGTCCATTTAACCTGCGCACCTGGCAGTACCCACCAGACCAGCAGGTCCCAATAATGTAAGTGCACTAAGTCAGCATCTGACATGGTAAGAAAAGTGATTAGAGAAAAAAAAAAACAGCTTCAGATTTAAAGTATTTTAGACCAGTCAGTGAACAAAGAAAAACAATGAGAAAAATTAAACAGATTCTCAATAGTGGTGACATTTTCCTTTGCTTTTATGCTCAGAAAAAGTTTACTCACTACAATTTTTAGATTTACAGTGTAATTTTTTTATACAATGCTTTGATCCATTTTGCCTGGAGTGTGAGGTAAAAGTCTTATTTTTTCCAAAGCCCAAACACCTCTTCCTTTTATCAGTTAATGAATTACTGAAATTCCTTTGTCCACTAACTTGAAATTCTAGTTATGATATACCAAATTTCATAAGAAGTCTGCTTCTAAGTTTTATTGTATGATTCCACAGATCTTTCTATAACTTAAAAAAAAAGTTAATACCTATAAGAGTCTTTGTCTCCCCTCACCAACACCAAGTTTGTTTTTATAAAACAAAAAAATGTAATGACACAAAAATACATTACATGTGTAAATGGAGTCAACCCAACTGTATTTAAATATACCACTCTTGTTCAATCATTTAAGTAAGAAAAACTGGCCAAAAAATGCATCTAAGTGCTAACAGTACTTATGCATGTGTAGTAGAATCACAGGGGACTGAAAATTCTTCCTGTTTACTCTCTCCTGTATTCCCCACAATTTGTATTAAATGAAGAATTAAAAGAAATCTTTTCTGTACAGTGGTTACGTAGCAGTGAAAGTCACAGACATGCGAACGGTTTTGGCTGATCATAGTATGATTTTCCCCTCAAAATCTGAAATTCTTAAAAAAACAAAATCATCAAACACAAGAAGCTTGTATAATAATGAAGGTTGCTAACTTCTTCAAGATGTTCACAAGACACACAAGGCTGAGAGTTGTCCTTGGTAATAGAGAAGAGAAATGGGTAACCTTAATGAAACCACTCTCTATAACCCCAAAGTAACCAGATTCTTCATCAGCTCCAAGTCAAAGGCTTAGTGAGCAATAGTAAGTAAATTCAATGGTTAAAATACTTCCGAAAAACATGAAGCTGGAGGATAGCTGAGTACTCCCAATTTCTGGGAATCAGAAATGGAATGAGAGGGAAAAAAATAACTCCAGGGCTCAGCTGGGTTGGGGAGTGTGTAAACAAGCATTTGCTTCTGAATACTTGATGTATAGCTGCTTTGCAAAACAAAAACAGACAAACCAGTCCCCTACCAACAGAGCTAGGAAACTGTCCCTTTGTGCACAAAATGAGCACTGGCATTTCCCCTGTACTTCCTTCTACTGCAGCTTAGCACAGTGTCTGACACAGGCCAGGCACCCAACATAAGGAAACTCAGTATTTGTATTATCTTATCACCAGACAACACATATCACAGACAAAGGTGATTCCAAAGTAACCATCTATTACATTTCCATAGGTCTGTTTGTGAATTTCTTTCTTTTTTCTATCTATTTAGAGACTAAGGGAAAACCTATGTACTCACCAGAATCCTCCTTTCCTGGGTCCCCTCAAGTCTGTGACACCTCTTCCCAGCTCCCCAGGTGGCTCTGCAGAGAGGGACTTGAATAGATGATGCACTAAGAGAAGACACTCAGCACAGCCTTGGAGCCCTGCCCCTTCGTCTTTTCCCAGCAGTCATGCCCTAGGGCTCCTCTCAAGGCTCACATCTACTCTAGCAATGGCTCCTCAGAGTTTACTAAGTCTGGTTCAAAGAACACATTCTCATGAAGAGACAATCAATTTCCATATTAAGGAGTTGTACTTACATTTGTCTTAACATAAATCGCTTCAAAGAAGCAGATTGGGAAATGTAATTCGTTTCTTAAAGATACTAACCCACAAGAAGTTTGTGATAGACTTTATCCCATTGGGCCATTCATCTGCTCTATGCTTTTACCAAAGGAGTCACTCATTTCAGAGCATTTTCACCATAGTTCTATTTCTGGACAACACACTTTCAACAAGGAAACTTAAATTCACATTCCTACCAAAGACTGATGGGCTGTAAATTGGCACAACCATTTAAATTGAAAACATCCATTCTGTATGACCCAGCAATTCTATCCCTAGGCGTAAATGACACACATACACAAATGTACTTATACAAGAATGTTCACAGTAGCATTGTTACTAATAGCCCCAAACTGGAAGGAATGTAGTTTCTATCAATAGTAGAATGGATAAATTATGGTGTATTGTGCAGGATGCCACACAGAAACAGGAATGAATTAACTACAGCTACACACAGTGTGGATGAATTTTCACAAACACAATGCTAAAAGGAAAACACAATATTCCACTTATATATAAAACCTAAAAGAAAACAGAATTGTTGCTGAGGGATACAAAGTGGTAAACGTAAAAAGAATAACAAAGAACGCAATTATCACATAAGTCAGAATAGTGATCATCTCTAGCAGTTAAGAAGCTGTGACCAGGAGACCTATGAAGGTTCAGGGGTGCTGGCACTGCCCTATTTCTTGAAAAAAATGGTAGGTACACAGTGGTTCACTTCATAATTTTTCATTAAATTGTATACAGATCATATGAATTTATAGGTATCTTTAAGAAGGGCTTTCTGACACTCCCACCAGCTCCACCCAGTTTTGCCCTAGCATGAAGTATGACACCAAAGGACCATTCTTCTCCCCCTTTCAGCAAAGCAAGTGGTTAATCTATCATTTGTTCATGCAGCCACAGTTAGAATCACAATCCAATGTAACAATTAAGAAAAAAACAAGTGAAGAATTTAAAAGCCTGGCTAGGGATTACAACATTTGGAACAAAATGCAGGGCAACTAAATACAAAACAACAGAAAAGAACAAGGTGCTCATGTAACACCTCACTCTGGGGCTGAGAAATAAAGGACGATGACAGATCAAGGGTGGCCATTTAAAAAGTAGGTAAGCAAGAAGCATGGCACATCAAGAACAAGCAACAGCTGATTAAATTAAGAGCTCGTGCAGGCTTGAAGGAAGCCCTGATTCTGAAGCTGACATGATGGAGGACAGCCACACCCAGAGCCCCCCGACTTTGGTTACCTTCATGGAGCAATTCAAATCTACAAAAAAAACTTCAACTTCTATTTGATCTTTTTTTTGAAATGGCAACATTAAGCTGGGAAAGGGATGTGGAGGAGGGATGTCCAAGGAGACAAATTATTCAGAAGCCTGGAAGTAGGTCATCTTCTGACAGGTGATCTTAATGAGCTAACAGACAAGTATCATCTACAAACACCAATTTAAAAGGCAGATCTCAAACTTAATAGTTAAAAACAAAAATACTCCAGAACAAGGAGGCCTATGTTAAAATTTTAAGTATATCCTGGATAAACTTCATTGTTTTCCTTAGTCCTTAGAAAAGCTGATGCCTCCTATGCTAAAACCTGAAAGTCACACTGACTTACATTTTATGAGAGGAAAAATTCTTCAAGCCTTTAACTGGCTGGATTCAAAGATGCAGTCCTCCCACATCTTGAATTTCCCAGCACCCAGTGGTTTCTGGCAGACAGCACCCAGAATGATTGGCAGATTTGTAATGTTTCAATATTACCAGAAAAAGACTGAACACACATTTCCAGCAATATGAATGATTTTAACTCACCAGTCACCATGTTGCAAGTATTTCTGCTGCTTGTCCTGAGTTCTTAAGACTTGTAACATTCTGAAGAAAACAGAACAAAGAAGTTCCTTCCATCCTCAGCCTCCTTTGAAATTTTAACTTTGTTCTTAAATAGGTATTAGAAAGAACTGTCCCCATCATTATCAACTGTGATTGCTAATTTTACTTCCTTTTAGCTTCTTTCACCTTATTAATGATGCAAGGCTGTAAAACATAAACTACGAGATGTTTTGTCTTAGGTAAAAAACAAAAGTATTTCTCTAGAGCAAAGCTAGAACTCCCCTGGCACCAGAACCCAGTGCTGGGATAATTGAAAGAAGAAAAAAAAAAAGCTAGGGTATTAAAAGCCTTTTATCGAAAGAGACTTTTCCAGTGGTACATGGGCAGATCTGAGAACCTTCTTCCTGCTGGGGATCTGGAATCAGAAGAGGCAAAGCACTGTTTCTCAGGTCGGTCAGTTCTGCTCTGGACAACTGTCTGCCTGAGCAGACCGCGGGCCCTTAGGCTGACCGAGCACCAGTAAGCCCCTCCCACCCCCGCCGGGGAAAAGGCTGCATTTAAGGATTTAAAGAGGAACTTGCGAGCGTGGGTAGTTTCGCATCGTCCACAGAACAGGATCCCCTTCCGGAGCGCACAGAGGTGACGTGTAGGAATGGCGCTTATGGAAGAATAACTTTCTAAACGACAAGAACGAGGTGCCGCTGAAGGGCCTCCTAGGATGCACCCTCCCTCTCCAGAACAAAGCACCGCACAAGGCGAGGAAACTCGAGGGGGCTCGCGGGCCGCAGGCCAACAGAGCTCGGTCTCAGCGGCGGGCAGCACCCTCCCCACGCGCGGCCCGGACATGGGCCTCGGGCCACCGCGTTCTTCCAGAACGAGCACCGTCGCCCGCCTCGCGGAGGAGCACGGCCGCAAGCCAGGCCGCAGAGCCGGCCGGTTTCTTCCCGGGCCCAGGCCACGACGGTCCGGAGACGTCACCAGAACAGGAAGAGCCCAACCCACCACCTTCCTCACGCTGCGAGCCGCGCGCCCGCCACCCCTCCACGCAGCACCGATGAGCCGCGCGCCCTCGTGGCGGCGCCGCCACCCAACAGCAGAGCGCGCGCCCGAAACCGGGGGTCGCGGGCGGGCGCGCGCCCCAGAAAGCCGCTGTCGCCCAAGGCCCGCAGCCTGGAAGGCCAAGAAATCCGGGCCGGGAGCGCGCACGTCGGCGGCCGCGCGCGCCGGGAAGGCCGCACGGCGCGCGCACCCGCGCGGATAAACAGGCCCAGCCCCGCGCGAGCACCAGCGCGCGTTCACGCGCCGCGCCCACCCGAATCCCCGGGCCCCTCCCCCACCGAGGGGGCGGGAGCGCGCTAGCCCAGGGACGTTCTCCGCTCCGAGCCGCCCCAAGGTCTCCTGGGCCAAGCGGCAGTGGCCCGCCCGCCCCCGCCCGCCGTTGTGTGAGGTGGGCCCGCTGTCTCAGGGCCGCAGACCAGCCGCATCCCTGTCTACAGTGGAGCCCTCACCCGGCGACGTGGTCGCCGCCGCCGCCGCCGCCGCCGCCTCCGCCGCCGCTCTATCCGCCGGCCCCGCCGCACTGCTCGGGGCCCCGGTTCTGCCGTCTCCCTTCCAACACCGACAGGATTTTCCCCTCACAGCTCCCTGGGCGCCATCTTACATTCAACCCTCGCAGCCAATGGGCGCCGAATGTTCCTCTCGCGATAATTGGAGCGTCGGGTCCCGCGAGAATTGAGGCTGCCTCCTGGCCAAACTTAAAGGGAACGCTTCTGCCGACGAAGGAGGCCGGGCTTCGGGCCACGGGAGCTGGGAGAAGCCTAGGTGCGGGGCGCGGCGCCCCGCCCTCGGACGCCCTTTCGTGGGGGCGGGGCCAGGGCGGGATAGCGGCATATCGGCGGGGCCCGGACTTGCTGGGGCCCGAAGCTACTGCCACCGGCCGGCGCTGGCGGGGCCCAGACTCTCGCTTAAGGTCGCCTGCGCAGCCGCTGGCCTAGGCCGGTGCCCCAGTCGCACCCCACCCGCGGCCCGCTCGCGGAGCGTCTGCCGTGGAGGACGCGCCGCGGCCCGGCCCACCTTAACGCACGGCGAGCCGCTGTTTGGACACAGCGCGAGTGTGCCGGCTGTTAAAGCTGCAGGCGCTGCCGCGCGCACTAGACCCTGGCTTGCACTTGGCTTCCAGCCCTGACGAGCTCCTGCTGGTCCTCTAGGGCTCCCCTCTGTGGTCACTTCCTAAGTAGTCTTCTGAGGCCCAGGCTGGTCAGGAGCCGCCGAGGAGGCCTTCCTGCGCAGTGCTTGGACACAGACGGCAGTTGGAAGGCCACCGCACAAGCCTTCTTCATCCCGCCGCGCCCAGCACATGGCAGGCACCGAGTCTTTGCTCAAGGAGGGGAGTGAGGGCCAGGCGTGTCTCCACCTACCTCTAGCACAGGGGTCCTAACAGTGGAGGGGCACCCCAGGGCCTGCAATTCCCTCAGACCAAGTGCTGAGCATATCCAGTTGGGAAAGCACCAGTGACTTCAGAGCTGTCGATACTGGTCCGTGTACAGTGCACCTGACCCCCATCCCAGGATGTCTCTAGGGTGGGCAGGTGCTGGGGAAGCAGACAGCGAACACACAGACTCCGGGGGGCTTAGCTCATCTTTATTGATGTGATGTCTGGCTACCCCCAGCCTCCAGAAGGACGAGGTAGGTCCATGGGCCCTCCAGCTCACACCTTTCCTGGATCCTCCTTCAGTGTGACAGTCCGGTTGAAGACCAGCTGGCAGGCCAAGGGAAAGAATGATCATCAAGCCAGAAAAAGACCAGAGGGCCCATAGAAGAGAGATGGCAGACTTAGGCCTCAAACTTTATGAGTTTGGGTAACTTTATGACCAGATAGTTCTGGGCCTCCGTTCTGTAAGGATTTTAACAACCCCTATGCCTGACCCCTATCTTGAGGGACAGGGTCCTTACAAAATACTCTTCAGAGGCATAACCTCTGAGCCTATTTCATCACCAGTAGAACATGAACCCCATCTCAGGTGGTGAAGATCAAATAAGGGAATGCTGGCAGAGCACTTGGCGCCATGAATGTCACTGTCACTATCAAGGGAGGGCCAGGAAAGGAAATGTAAGCACCTGTCCCTGGAGGCTGTCTGGATCCACAGAGAAGTAGCCCAGCCGCTCAAACTGGAACTTGTCGAAGGGCTTTGCCAGGGCCACAGAGCAGTCCACTAATGCTGCCTCCACCACGTGTAGTGATGCCTGTGGGCAGGGACATCAGGCGGGGTGGCCACCCAGCCAGGGAGGCCCAACACCCGCACACCTCCCCTGAGCATACCGGGTTCAGGTCACTTAAGAATCCACCAGGCACCTCAGCAGGATCCTCTGGGTTCTTATGCTGAAACCTGCAGCCACAGGCAAGGTCAGCCTCCAGCTGGGCGGCCACAGCAGGCAATGCCCATCTGGGATCTGCCCCCACCCCAGCTCTGTTCACTCACAGTCGCTCGTAGAGACGAATCTCACATGTCAGAGGCTGCGACACCCAGTGAATAAAAGCCTTGGGCTTCTCTCCACTATCTGCCCGTCTGCAGGTCACCTCCAAGCTCTCCACACAGCCACTGGGGCCCTGGAAGTCAGGATGCAATCAGACCGGGACCACTTGCAGGACTGGAGGCTGTACCTAGATCCTTGCGCCAGCATGCACTGCAGTTGGAAGGCTGCAGCTGGCTCTCACCTTGACCACACACTGCAGCTCGATGATGTAGCCTGTATGCCTCAGGCCCACGGGCTGGCCCCAAGCCAGGCGCTTATAGCCTGGCTCCGGCTCCTAGAGGCAGGAAGTGGGGCGGTCACCAGAGGTTGCAAGCGTTGACCATGTATAAGAGGCTTCCCTCCCACCCGCATATCTAAGGGATTGGTTCCGAGGCAAGTAGATGGGCTGACAGAAGAGAGGAAAGGGCCTCGGAACTAGGCTTGGCCTCAGACAAGACTCCCCCGACCCATTCACCTCCTTGAAGTCAGTCCTCTCAATGAAGACAGTGGGTCCAAAGGGGACCTGATGGAAGCCCTTGGTCTCATCAGCTGGGAAGTTGGGCACCTGGATGTACAAGGACTAAAGCAAGAGAAAGGCGTCTGAGTCACGCACGCTAGGCCCTGAGACCCCTGTGCCCAGACACAGGTGCACGTGCACACCCACACCCACACACACATTATGGCAGACCTACCTTGGCTGCAGGGAAGTTGGTGATAATGACGGGTAATGACTCCAGCACAGCCATGGCCCGTGGGGCTGTGTCGTTCAGCACATCACGCACGCAGGCTTCTAGCAGATGTGGCTCCATCGTGGCCTGTGCCACTGTTACCCCCACCTAGGAGGAAAGGCCATCATCCACCATAGCTACAGCCCACTCTGCTCAGCCCCCACCTGCCCACCCGGCCCGCCAGTCTCTACCCGAGCACAGAAGGTGTTGATGGCCTCTGGAGGGAAGCCCCGCCTTCGCAGAGCTGTGAGTGTGAAGAGCCGAGGGTCATCCCAGTCCCTGTAGGACAAGGAGGAGGTGGGAAGAGGGCCTCTGGCAGCACATGCCATCAGTACTGCCAGCCTTCAAAGAGGCAAGCAGCCACACCTACCGCACAGCGCCAGCCGCCACCAGCTGGAGAATCTTCCTCTTGGAGACAACAGCATAGTGCAGGTTGAGGCGGCCATACTCCCACTGCACGGGGCAATAGACGTCCAGAGCGTTGCATAGCCAGAAGTAGGAGGAGCGTCTGGGGTGGGAGGGCAGAGTCAGGACTGGTGGCCCCGGGCCAGGGAACAACCACAGGAGGGCCGCTGGAATCCCCTACGCACCCCACTGGCCCAGCCCCCTCACCGGGCCTGGAACTCCTTGGTGCAGAGTGAGTGGGTGATGTGCTCGATGGAGTCACAGAGGCAGTGTGTGTAGTCATAGGTGGGGTAGATGCACCTGTAGGACACAGGCAGTGTGCCCAGCGTCCAGCACCCCACCCTACAGACGCACAGCCCCAGCCCATGCTCACACCCACCAGGTGTCCCCCGTGCGGTGGTGCGCTGTATACTTGACTCGATAGGCCACAGGATCCATCTTGCCATCCTCCATCACCAGTTTCATCCGCAGCGTGGCCTCACCCTCCGCAAACTTGCCCCTGCGCATTGCCTGAGAAGAGCAAGTGCCCAGCTGCCTCTCAGCCCAGGGGCACCTCATCCTCAGCAGCTCAGCTTACCCAGACCCAGCTGGCTCTCCAGAAAGCCACCTCGAAGAGCAGCAGTGATTCCTCTGTGGGACGCTCTCTCCAGGGTGAGGGCGGCGGGTTGTGGCCTTTGAGCTCCTCTCCCGGCTGGTGGCACACGTAAGCCCGGCCCCTGTGGGCAAGGGCTGTAAGCAGCCGGCAGCCTGGCTGGGTGTCCTGGGCAGCCCGGCCAACCCCACTTTTGGCCATGGCCTCACCTGCGGATGAGCTCCACAGCCCAGGCATACAGCTGGTCGAAGTAGTCAGAGGCATACGTCACCTTGTAAGGCGTGTAGCCTGGGGCAGAGGGAGATGCAGTGTAAGCAGCCAGCCAGGAATGCCCACCGGCGGGATGTGGCCTGAAGAGAGGGTCGCCTGACACCACCTCTGCCTGGGCCTTGCCCAGCCCATACCCAGCCAGGCCACCATGTCACAGATGGCACTGAAGAACTTCGCTTCCTCCTTCTCAGGGTTGGTATCATCGAAGCGCAGAAAACAGATCCCGTTGTTGGCCTAGGAGAGAGAGGGCATCCGTGAGCAACCACGGCCCAGATCGTCAGACTGGAACATTCTGAGTGCCCTCCCAGGTTAGAGTTGAACAATCCCTTCAAGCATTTTCACTCATCTTCCTGTAACTACTTGCCCTAAAGAAGGCACCTCTTACGCCAACTTGGGACAGAGAGCAGATCCTCTTCTAAACCCAAGAGGCTGCACTGAGAATTCCCCCAAACTTGACTTCCCTGCCTCCTGCAGAGCTTTTCCTCAGAGAGTCCAGAGGACTCCCAGCGATCTGTCACACTGTGGTTCCCCTCCATGGCCTCTGTCCACATTATGGGAGAGGTAGGGAAGGAAGGGACACCTCTCTGGCATCCAGCTATGGAAGCAGCAACTGGTCAACCTGCTTTCCAGGTCTCCAGACACACACTCACCTTGGCATAGCCAAAGTTGAAATTGATGGCTTTGGCATGCCCAATGTGCAGGATTCCGTTAGGTTCTGGTGGGAACCGGGTGCGTACCTGAGGTAAGGGCAATGGGAACAAAGCAGCAAAGTCAGAGCTCAGGCCACCCTAAAGGGACAGCCACCCCTTCCCAGAGAGGCTGTGGTGCCAGGTGACAAGGGGAAGCATGGAGGCAGATGCTGACGGCACAAGCTGGCATAGTGGTGTTCCCACACACCTGACCCCCCGTGATTTCCAGGTGCTGTTTCAGCAGGTCCATGGTATGTGGAGTGGTCACATAGCCCGGAGTCTTATAGTTCTCACCTGCCAGGGCCAGAACAAGCCTGAGGACCAAGCAGAGGTGAGGGCTCCCTCTCCCAAGGGCCTGGCTGCAGGAGTTGCCATCAAGACACAGCCGTCCCTGGGGTTTCAACCTGCCTGCTCACCAGGCTTGTGGAACTTAAGCGCCTCCCCTCGGAGCTGCTCCATCAGAGACAGGGCCTGGCTGGCAGCCTCACCTGCAATGAGCAG